AAAATCCATTTACTGTATATTGACTATTTTTCATGAGGTACTAATTTTCAAGGATTTCATGGGTATAGGTGAACCAATGAAATAATGAAATTCAAGTATCAAAGGAAATTATTATTTCCTCTAGGGTTGTATGCAGAATTTGTGAAAACATAGGAATCAAATAGTTTTCCAAAATCTTCCAGACTTGGTACCCATGGAAATAAATGAATCCACAGTAACTTGGTTACTGTAAAAATGTCTGACAAACTTGGTTACTGTAAAAATGTCTGACAAACTTGGTTACTGTAAAAATGTCTGACAATTGACATTTTTTTAATAAAATATAAATGACTATCGCTACATACTGTGTTAAAAACTTGATTATGTTGCATCAGTTATGTGGAAGGAAATATGTCAAAATTTAGTTGGTCAAAAATAATTAAGGGCCACTTACCTCTTATGAAAAAATTGCAATTTGAATATTTTTCTTGAACCTTTTATGGTAGTTGAGAGTTTGAACACACTTCAAACAGTTTGGAATTTGTAGACTTATAATTAATATTGAAAATGACATGACTAGATTATAAGGTAAAAACCATGGCAAAATAAAGAGAATATATGAAATTTTAATGAAAGTGAGTTGATAAAATAACTGATAAATCACTAGTTCATAAGCAATAAATAAGATTACTAGATGTGTCCAAGATTATCAATTCAAATGTAGAGTGTTTTAACGGAACATTATTTCATAGACAAAAGCACAAACTTTTCCCAAGATCTTAATCAAAGTATTTGTGAGCACTGACAGGTAAAGATTGCTTTCATTTTGCAATTTTGTGAATTTTTAAATAAAACATTGAATTGTATTTTATAAGGCAAGTTACTTTGAGTTAGAGTTATCTTCCTTTGTTCATGTTTGTACATTTGTAGTTTGACCTATTTTTATAACAGATTCATACACCATGCATTACTTATGTAGTTTTTAATAAAAAATAAAGTATGGCAATTCAAATACACATCATATTGTAACTTAAATATCAAAGTATAACATATCATCAACAAATTGCATGAAATTGACTGGATAGGATCTAAATAAAGGTAGTGATCAACCATGGAAGATATCAAGTCAGTACCATAGGGTTTTGATTGCATTTCATGCAATCTTTACCCCAAAAAATGGCATAGCATAGAACTTCTGTTCCTTAATTCTCATAAAATATGCATTTGCTTTGATAAGGTAAGGAGTTAGTCAATTCACCCTTAAATGTCATTATGCAACATGACTTAACACTATACTTCTGAAAATATCTTGGAATTGATGAAATAAAATTTGCTGTGAACTTGGTGATTCTCAACTTATGACCATATATTTTTATGAGCTGTGACTTGTTTATGTTTATCTAATCAATATTGTTAATTGTGTATACAACACTAAAATGTATATATGCTGCATACAAATCTGTTACCATAGTAACCAACTTCGTTTCTTCTGTTGATTTTCATCAATTTGACTACTACTTCGCTGTGGTGATTCTGGTCTCTAAAATGGAAAAGAAAAAAGTAAAATAACAAAAATACCGAACTCCAAGGAAAATTCAAAACAGAAAGTTCCTTATCAAATGGAAAAATCAAAAGCTCAAACACATCAAACGAATGGAAAACAACTGTCATATTCCTGACTTGGTACAGGCAATGATATCCTTATGAAATTAATCAAACTTTCTGATGACTTGATATTTTACACTTTCATCAGCATAACAATTTTTCTAGGGAATGAAATTGGGGGAAGTGTACTGAAAATTTTCTTCTTGTTGATCTATTTTGTAGATTTTGTTTTGCTGATCATTTTTGCTGTACACCGCTTAAAAAGGTAAAAAAAAAATTGTAATTTAAGGGAAATAACTCCTATCAGGAGTCAACTGACAATTAACATATTTGTTGATCTCGTCCTGCTGATATTTTCCGCTATATAAAGTATCTCTCTATCTTTAATTGTTTTCAAGACAAAAGTGAAAAAAAATTGGTAGAAATCATCATTTAAGAGCAATAACTTCTATAAAGAGTTGTTTGACAAAATGGACAGTAGGTTGACCTTGACATTCTAAACATTGCTGCCACTGTCCTGTTGGCTGTCAGGCTGGATCATCAAACACATTTTTTTTAACCTAAATACTCCAAGGATGATTGTGGTTAAGTTTGGTTCCAATTGGTCTTGAAGCTTCAGAGGAGGTTTTAATAAAACTAAAAGGTCCATGATAATGACGATGACAGAAAACGGACAATTACTGATGGCAATAGCTCACACTGGCACTTTAGGCCAATTGAGCTAAAATACTAGTTTATGACTGCTAACTCAATCACCATTTCGGGTATCAAGATAAATCTAGTAATTTTTATACCATCCCAACTCCACTGCCTTCAGAAAAAGAAGAGACAGGCATCTTTCCATGATGACTAATCTCATTATGTGGTCCTCAATGAAAAATATTTAAGTCTCTCTAATTATTTTTGCTCAGTTTCTTATTCCTCTGCTTTCTTTCTGCACCACAAGTACTTGTCCTTGGCAAATCATAGAAACCATACGTTAGATGTTTTCAAAGCAATAGGACCAGCAAGCCTACATGTAACCAGTTGTTGTTAGAGGTTAAAATTTGCAGTTTGGGGGTGTTTTAAAGCTTTATTTTTTTTTGGGGGGGGATAGAAACCTATTGGAAAATATCTCGATAAGACATCATTAAATACTATTGTACAAAAGATCAGATCTACTGTCAAAACGAACAAAATCAAAACAGCTGTTTATTTCAGAATGACAAAAGATCTGAGGTTGAGTAACATTGTAAGCATGGTGCTTTGACGTAAATTTTAAACAAGAGTGCACACCCTGAAATGTCTCAGCTGCTTTACATGATTGCGCTGAAAGCCTGTAGTAAGAAGTTTTATTACACGTATTACATAAACATTACATTATCAATTATCCATTTATATGAGGTCATGGTCAGATGAACCCTGCCAGACAGACATGTTCACCTAACAATCATACAATTCACCAAATATACAGTAGTTGATCTATTGCTTATAGTATCTGAGAAACAGAAATGATTAAGAAAATTAAATTTTGACCAATAAACCATCAAATTGAGGTCAAGATCAGATGAACCCTGACAGACAACAAGTATACTATGCAATCATTCCATATACCTAATATAGTTTGACGTATTGTTTAAGTATCTGATAAACAGACAATACCATGAAAACTTAACATTGACCAATGAACCATGAAATGAGGTCAAGGTTAGATGAAACCTGCCAGACAACAATCATTCTATACACCAAATATAGTGGTCCTATCGCTTATAGTATCCAAGAAATAGACAAAACCAGAAAACAAACCTTAACATTGTCCAATGAACCATGAAAAGAGGTCATGGTCAGATGAAACCTGCCAGACGGACATGTACACCTTTGCTTACAGTATCTGAGAAACAGACCAAACCACAAAAACTTAACTTATGGTAACCAATGAACCATAAAAATGAGGTCACAGTCAGCTGAAACCTGGGCCATTCTTAAAAAATTCCTAGATTGATGTTGCCTACTCATGCCTTGTAGGGTTGGGTAGGTAGGTAGGGATTTTAAATTTTTTGGCCAACAACATAAGTTAAATGTTTAAGACAAGAAAGAGCAGGACAAAATCTTTTTTAAAAAAAATTTAATTAAAACGATTGGTGTCGTAAAATTTTTCAGGTAGGCTGCTTTTGAAGTCGGTAGGAAGGCAACATCAAACAATTTAAAATTTTATTTTTGGCCCTGCCTGTTGGACATGTACTTGTAACAATCATTCCATACATGAAATATCGTTGACCTTTGAATTATAGCATCTGAGATATGGACTACCAATGAAAAGTTAACCTTGATCACTGGTACATGAAATGATGTTGAGGTCAGGTGAACCCTGTCTGAAGGACATGTAGACCTTGCAAGGATCCTATATACCAAATATAGTTATCCAAGTTTGTTTAAATTGACCTTTTGTTTTCAGAGAAGATTGGTTACAAAGTTTACGATCAACAGACAATGGATGAGAAATGATGGCATTACCTCCCATGGCCCAGTATGTCTTGTGAGCTGGAAGGATGTGTGGCATGACAACTTACTAATATAAAAACATAGCTTGAAATGATCCAATACTACCACAGCAGGTGTCACTTGTGGAGCAGGACCTGAAGACCCTTACTGTTCAACCATGTTCAATTTTTGGTAGGGTTCAAGTTGCTCTATCTTTAGTTTTCTGTGTAGTGTTTTGTGGATGTTGTTCCTATTTTCTCTTTTTTTTATCATGGTTTTGACTATTTTTCTTAAACTTATAATTTTTGAGTGGCTCCTTGGTATCTTATCCCACTTTTTTTACCAACAATTAGTCATTTCTGGGTTTAGAACTGACCTCTCTTTTTAAGAAGTCAGACAATTTAGAGCTTGACACTTATACATATACTTACACTTCATACACATATTGGACACTTGTCTATTGTTGAAGACAATATTTAAGCATCTAGATGTCAGTTAGTCGTCTTGAGTTGTTGGGTTACTGTCTCACTGACATAACCTTTCATTTAAAAACAAGGAATTATTTGGATCTGGAATAATTTTGAATTCTGGAAAATTGATGAGCAATTTATGATGAAAACTAACCCAACTAAATAGGGTTAGCCATGCGCGCATGGCTAAGGGGGGTTAGTTAGTTCATACTGAAATGATAGTGAAATTAAAATTAACCTTAGCCATGCACGCATGGCTAACCCTATTTAGTTGGGTTAGTTTTCATCATACATTTCTAATAAATTTTCCAGAATTCATAATTATTCCAGATTCAAATAATTCCTTGTTTAAACCAGAATATTGACTAGAAAACATGCCGCAAGGTAAAAACTAGCAGGTACAAGTAACTGTATTAGTATAGGGACAAAAGCTAATAAATAAAACAAAATAAAAACATGCCTTGAACAAACACAAACACATGCAAATTAGTACTAACATTTTTATTGAAATATATAGTTTGCTTATATAAAGCTTTTACATACAGCATAAAAACTAATACATGTAGTATCAAATAACATGTTGACATATTTCTACTTTTAAAAAATAAATATGCAGTTTTTTTATTATGTTGTTTTTTTAAGTTTTGTTGTGTATTTGCTATGTAATGTGAGTATACATGTAATACATTGCGGATTCATTGATATTTTTGTTGGATATTAATTTTCATTGATAATATCAGAAGGGAAAATTTAAAAAAATCTAAGAATTTATAAACCGGTTTGCCTGTTATTTATCTGTCAACATGAACCTTCCATGGCAACCAAACCTAGCTTCACGGAAAACTGCAACCTAATAAAAAGCTGTCATCACAGTGTTTTTCGTTAATTTATGTTAAGTTCCAAATTAATTTCTTGTAAATCCCTTCACAGAGAGTACAAAACTTTAGGCTTTTTTTGTGGCTCGGGTTTTAGAAAGGGAAGTTAAATTTTTGTTGTTTACTTTGTTCATGGCATTGTACAATGCCCTTAAATGGACAGCAAAATGTCGCATATATGGTAAAATTCAAAGAAAAATGCCTACCATGAACAAAGTGAAACTAAGACACACACGAAAGTTTCACAATATATGGTGTGAGCAAATGTAAGCAAATGTTTGTGATACTGCAAAGTTGACACCTACAAAAATAAATGAATCCACAAAATATACATATCTTTGTCAAGAATTAACACATTTTTAGAAATAAATTAACATTTGCACTGTTGTTTTTAATTTTTTTATGAGTTACAAATGAATATATTATACCTTCTTTAATATGTAATTTTGTTTAACTTAAATATTTGTATTATAGGTTTTAAACAAATCTTCTATAACAGACTTTTGTAATCTCACATTCTGCCTCTTACATTAATTTCAAATATAAAAAAAATAACATATCTAAAACTTTGGTTATTAGGTTATTAAATTCTATGCTAAGAAATAACACATGGTTGATTAAACTAATAAATATTATCTCCACAATACATGATAAGATATTTAAGAGTATCATTAAAAAAATTCATAAAAACATGAAAAATTTAATAAATTTCATAAAAATCTAACAAGATATATATAAAGTTACAAAGTTTTTAAGGAAGATAGTTTTATCTTTTGTTCTTTATAACAGCATCCTTTGTTCTTTAAAATAATCTAAGACTAAAAAAATCTTGTTCAGAAATAAGTATTTATACAGAAAATTTTCAGAAGAAATTTTCAGACGGTCACATAAACAGTGTACAAGATACCAAATAAGGACCGTCCAGCTCTTCTACCTACTGAAATATGAAGCTTTAACAAGAAGCAACACTTTTGCCAATAGAAAAGCATCCCATAGTCTTGCATATTCTGCACTATTCATCACAGGGGTGACAAAAACAGTTTGAACTATAAATTTGAATTCATAACACTTGATTAAAAATCAAATTAAGTAAAACATGGATCCAATTAAAAAAGTCTTGAAAAATTACATAATCTGATATTGGTTTAAAAAATTAAGAGATACAAAATTTTGGGCTTTTACATTTTTATATAAATGCAAAGTATACATGATTGGAATTTATTTTAAATTTTGATGAAATTTACTATGCATGTAGAACTCATTGATCTCTGCTATCTGAATAAAACACATTTTTAAGTCCAAATATAAAATCAATTAAAAAATTTGTAAAAAATATCTATAAATGTAAAGAATGAAAGTTAACAAGCGGCATAAAATATGCATTTCCACTTTAAATTGCGTTTCTCAAAATTCCATCCACAGAAATTGATTAAAATTGAAATGTTATTGCTGCAAACATTTCTGTTGTATTGTTTGCAAATTTAAGAGGGTCAATGATTAAGTTTTTGCAAATTTCATCAAAATCTAAAATAAAGTCCTATTACGTAAACTTTGCATTGATTTAATAACATTATCAACAAACAAATGAATTTTAAACTACACCAGATCTTAAGTCCTACCTTTATGTAACTTTACATTATGTATTATGCATTTTACAGTCCTTGTATTTTATTCAAATTTCAAAGCATAAATTACTACATTTCATTTAAAATTATTACAAAACCAGTGATAAAAAAATTCACCTTTAAGGTATCACTACATAGAGGGTTGAAAATTATAAAAAAATTCAGACCAAAAGGCTGGAATTTATCATTAAGTTTTCCCATTATGCATTAATTTGTAGAAGAGTTATATATTTATTTCATTAGCATCAAATTCTGAAAGCATGCATTCAGTCAAAATGTAAATATTAAATTATTAATTGCATGAGATATATCATGTACAATAATGGAACTTTAGGTGGCTAGGGAGTCTTCCTCCATTTTGGATTTTGAAATAGGAGATAACGTTGGTCTAGATCTTTGATGAAATGTGCAAATTTTGAGAGTAGTATGTAATTTATGTGTAAGACTTTTGATGTAAATATAGAAAATTGTGGGTTTTATCATAATTACAGCTGTAATTTCTAAAAAAAAAACCTTTAATATTTGTGTTTGATTAATTTGTTTTCAACTTTGCCAAATAAGGGGAGATAACTCAGATAAAGTAATTTTTATAATAGAAAGTGTTGTGAATTTACCTATTTTAATCTATAGCAAGAAAACAAGTTCGGTGACCCCATTTTTTCTTTTTCTTATCTGAAAGCATGTTATAAGAGCTATCTTCTCACATTTTATCTCAAAATTCTATCATGTAGTTTTCTTATTATCACACACAATTTGATTTTCCATGCATAATCTATACAAAATCTGACAATTTTGCACAACCTGTAGTGTGAAAAAAAGTCCGGTGACCCATACTTTTTTTTATATTTTTGAAAAAAGCATGATAAAAACTTCATTATGACAAATTATTAAAAAATTCTATCATTATATACTTATTTGTTTAGGGGCCAGCTGAAGGACGCCTCCGGGTGAGGGAGTTTCTCGCTGCATTGAAGACCCATTGGTGGCCTTCAGTTGTTGTCTGCTCTATGGTCGGGTTGTTGTCTCTTTGACACATTCCCCATTTCCATTCTCAATTTTATCAGTTTTAATTAAGACGCCCCAGCCACCTTAAGTGAGTAGACCATTTGACAATAAAAGTATTCATAATTTCTGACTAAAAATGTATCAAGTTTCTGTTTGTGTTGTCTTTTACAAGAAATTTTGAAAGTATACAATTGAATATGAAATAACTACACAATATTTTTTTGTAAGTTTTATAAAACAATATAGGTGAGTTTTCAGACTACTCTTAAAAAACCCAGTACTGTTGTATTAGTACTTTTCATAAAGTTTTTATTGCACATCTTTTATATCTGAGATGAAAAGAATGGTCAGATCATACTCGTAAAAGTTCATACATAAAATAAACATTTACATACACACGAATCATAAATTATTCTATTCAGGGCGAATGTTTTGTTAGATGAAGAATGTTGATTATTTTCTTATTAAGTTACTTGTAATAAAATCAAGTGAGAAAGGAAGCAATCACAAGCGACAATTAGTTCAACAAAAGTTATGAATAAGAAGGAATATGATGTACTAATTCATGACACAAAATCTCTACAAGCAATAGACAAAACAAAAACCGACAGACAGTGCTTGCATTGCTGTTATTCATCTCAAAGACACAGGGGTTATTTTCATTTACAGTGAAATCTGTCTCAACAGAACACGGTGTAACTTGAATATGAATAAAAGGAGACGTTGGTTATTCTATGTACCGGTAAATGGATAAACATGAAAAATATCTCAAATGACTGTATCCAAAAAATGTAAACTGGACCAAAAATAATGCAAACTTTCTAAAGCTTCATTACTGACCAAGATCTATTGACTTACTAAATATTAATCCTCTATAGCTGAGAGCTGTTCACAACAGGACCAATGTACACTACTGAGAGTCATGCATGAAATTGGTAAATGAGATACATGTGTAGTTTTGACCTTCACTTCACCTTCCAAGGTGTGCCCACTGACATAACTGTCATTCCTCTTTAGACTTAAGCTTATAATTGCATAGATTTGGACTTTAATGTAAACTTTGCTAGAATTATCTTTAAAGTAAAATGAGGTATAAGAGAATATTTTATGTCTAATGCTTTGCTACTATCCATAATATATCCACTAACAAATTTCACAACTATTTTTGGCTTCTGGTTGATAAAATTGTCCCATTCAGCAAAATTTTCAGTAAAATAATGGTTTTAAGGAATGTAAAGAAAACAAATATCAAAAACAATTCAAACACCTTAATAACTCAAAACAAATAATTTTTTGCAAGTATTTTCTTCTAATAAAACAGAAACTTTAATTAGTTTTAAAGCATTAATTGCATTCTTATTGGTTTATCACATTTAAAGCTAATATAATGCCTTATTTTAGGTATAGAGATCATATCTACAACAAAATTTTAGTTATGTACCGGTAATTTTACAAAAGTCAATTTGTAAAAACTGAGATCAGAAATAAAAACATTGTTCTTGAAAAATTCACTTTTATTATGTAAAGGTGAAAGGTTACAATATGACCCTCAATTTGAAAAGAGTAGGTGTAGTAAGATTCTTATTTGACCTAAATTAAAGCATGTACAATTAAAACAAAAAGCATTCAAGGTCATAAACCTGTTAAAATAAAGTTCGGTTAACTGGGGTTCAGATAGGACATGAAGAAGAAAAAAACTTAAAACATCATCAGTTACCATGACAACAGAGCATGGTAGAAACTGCACATTTTTTAAACCCTTAAAATCTTTGTTTCATTATTTATATTTACATAGATACTGAACCAGAAAAGTATACCCATATAAGAAACAACATATTGAAATAGGTAATTACTTATAGATACAATGCAAGTTCTTTTAAAATACTTCGTGGTTTCACAAATGTACTTCATGTTTCCTTAAAGCAAATATACATTGTCACTTTTGATAATTTTTAAGATTTTGATAAGATGTCATAATGTTGCAAATTTCGTCTAACTTTTTCATTTTTTATACATTAATATATATTTTTCTTTGTTCAATGTATTAAGTATTTATTACAAAACTTTCATCTTCTTGAGGAAAATCAATCAGCCTTAATGCCACTTTTCCTTTTATCAATTGACATTTAAGCAAAAACACACACCAAGTACTATAATGATGTAATATAGCAGAATCAACTGCCATAGAGATTTTAAAGAATAACTGAATATTGTGCTTCATAGCAATGATGTAAAGAATGATTTCTCTTTGATTGAAATTCTTTCACGCTCTGCCAACTTCAAATAAAGTTTTATCAGTATTCCATCATATAGTTTTGTTTCAAGTAGCTCTATCTCTAGCACCAATTCAAAAAGAAGAAACATCTATTCAGCATCCAAGAATTGTTACAGTATCATTTTAACTTTCTTGCATATCATATCATTTTTCATTCAAATAATTTTTGTTGTATTTAATGCGTTTATAGTGGGTTTTTTTAAATATGAAAGAACACATCCTAATTGCTCATTTATCTGTGTCACGTCCAAACCTTACATAGTCATATTGTATATGTTTAAAATTAACAAAATAAAAAAAAAACTGCTGTGATATAAACATTTATATTGCATTAGATTTTTAAAATAATCTATAAATTAAGAGAAAATAACAAGTTAATTCGGTGGATTTCAATAGAGCACTTTCAATTATAAATGGAATGTGAAAAAAGAGACCCTGCATGGGGTTATCTGATAATCATACAATCATAAAAATGTTTAAAGCAGTAATCATTTAATCAGTCAGTAACTTTTACCGGTACATGAATGGTAATCAAATAATCAAAGTATCGAAAAATTAAGAGCTTGTTTTCAAATATTTAATTATACTTAGTCCGTAATCAAGTATTATCAAGTAGTCAACTATTATCAATTAACCCATGCAGGGCCCCAGAAAAACAAAGGCATGGCAAATTCTAGTGGTTTTGATAACAGTGTATATAAAATCATTCATCAACATAATATTATCTAAATGTAACAACATGTAACTAATTAGCTACTGGTAACCATGGCAATGACATGCAGGTCATACCCATTCTTTACTAGGAAACACCCTGGTCACTGCCATCTCCTGAGAGTTCGTTGGTGGCCTCCGTAGACTCTGTGTCTGCAATGATATTTGAAATATTGAGAAATTAATGATAGAAAACCATTAATAATTTATTCATAATAATCTATCAATTACTTTTAAGAACAAAATGAGAATCTATTAGCTCATATTGGGGTCACAAAATTTCCAGAAAGTTGAGTTTTGTGTATGAGTGTGAGAAAGACAGTTTCTTCATTTGTACTACTGTTTCCAATCACCATATGCGGAGATTGTCATCAGTAAAAATGTTGACGACATCATGATAGTTTTTAGATATCTTTGAGAAAGACTATGCTAAATTGTATTCAAAGTTTAATGTGATAAGAGATTGTTGGTATGCACATTTTTTGTTCTAAATTTGAATAAAATGCTCCACTGGGCGCAGCTTGATACGACCTCAGAGGTCGAACCCTGAACAGCCGGGGCAAGTATGGACACAACATTCAAGCTTGATACAGCTCTGAATTTGGATTGTGATTAAATATTTGACACAGCATAGGTTTTTGACACAGAATGAATGTGGTCTAAGTACTTAAAAAATTTTAATTTACATATTCAAACCATATCATTATTATTTGCTTTTATATATAAATCAGAAATAACCAACTTAAAATGGAAAATTAAAAAAAAAAAAAAAAAGGAAACCCCCCCCCAAAAAAAACATTTTTGAACCACCTTATGATTCATCACCCCCAAACTCAATCCCAACCTTCCTTTTGTGGTATGGTACCTTGCAGTACAATTTCAGAGAGATCCATACACTTGAACACAAGTTAAAGTTTTAAGTCTGGAAACTAGAAAAATGTTTGTTTTTTTGCCCCTTTTTGGCCCCTATTCCTAAATGTTTAGGGCAATTACCCCCAAACTCAAACCTAGCTTTTCTTTTGTGATATGGAACCTTGTAGTACAATTTCATAAAAATCCATACACTTACACACAAGTTATTGTCCTGAAACTAGAAAAATACTTGTTTTTTGGCCCTTTTTGGCCCCTAATTCCTAAAATCTTGAGGCAATCACCCCCAAAATCAACCCCAGCCTTCCCTTTGTGGTATGGTACCTTGCAATACAATTTCAGAGAGATCCATACACTTGAACACAAGTTATTGTCTGGAAACCAGAAAAATGCTTATTTTTGGCCCCTTTTTGGCCCTTTATTCCTAAACGTTTTGGGCAATTACCCCCAAACTCAATTCCAGCTTTCCCTTTGTGATATGAAACCTTGCAGTACAATTTCAGAGAGATCCATACACTTACACACAAGTTATTGTCCTGAAACTAGAAAAATGCTTGTTTTTTGCCCCTTTTTTTGCCCCTAATTCCTTAAATTTTAAGGCAATATTACCCCCATAATCAATCCCAGCATTCCCTTTGTGATATGGAACCTTGTGGTACAATGTCAGAGAGATCCATACACTAACACACAAGTTATTGTCTGGAAGTTACAAAAATGCTTATTTTTGGCCCCATATTCCTTAACTGTTGGTACCATAACCCCAAAAATCAATCCCAACATTCCTTTTGTGGTATTGAACCTTATGGTAAAATTTGATAGAGATCCATTCACTTTAACTAAAGTTAGAGTGCGAAAACCAATGTGTCTTCGGACGACGACGACGACGACGACGACAACGACGCCAACGTCATACTAATATATGACCGCAAAAATTTTTTGCGGTCGTATAAAAATGAGAACTATTTTAACTTGTGACCGAACAAAGTTAAAAAAATCACTTATTTTATTTGTTATATGGGGTCTTATCAGTGCAATATAAATAAGTAACTCTTTAACATATGTAATATGGCTTATTAGATTTTTTCCAAAAAAGGGAAGACGAATCAGTTTAAAAATTGTTTTTTGCCCTTTACAAATGCAAAAATTTTGTCATATTTTTGTAAAAGAATATAAAGTTATGTTGCATCACTTCTTCAGAATATAAATGTATCATAAATTTAAACACTATATCTTATATTTATTCTACAAGTATACTTGTAGTTAGTGTAGTAGATCTATAAATGCAATGAACTTGAAATTGCAAAAAAAGGGACTTAATACATCATATAATTCTGAAGGCCTGTTTAATTCCAAATGAAAGCAATTTGTAAAAGCACATTTACAGAATTTTATAAGAAAAACAATAATTCTGTAACTGCTCATAAACAGTGGTATAAAATGATCACCAAATTGACATCATATGAATAAACATATCTGAAAATCCGATATTATCGAGACAAAATTAAAAGATAACACATGTGCATGATATTACACAGCACAAAACCACTTCAAATTTTAACAAAAGAATACTTGAAGTGATAAATACAATATAGCAAAGCTTTCAGTGCAGATCTAACCCAAATTTGTCAGGTGCTGATGATCACTACATCAAAAACATGTGAGAAATAAAAGAAAGGGCTGTGCCAGGAGAACATGATATGCCTGTCCTCATATTAGTGATAGTATGTAGATTGTATTTTCTAGTAACAGGTTATTGAATGAATAAAATAGTATGTAAAAATTTCATAAGGATTCATTTTTTGCAATTGGCTTTTCAGTTTCACTTCGACTTATGAGTTTTTAATGTTCCCTTGGTATCTTGTACAACTTTGTAAAACCTTAAATAAACAATAATACGACCAAAAAGGACTTGGAAGAAAATGACAAAAACCGTCTAAAATAAATTTAACATGTAATAACATTATTACAGTAATGTGTGTCTATTTGATCAAGCAAAAACAAATGATATACACTACAAAAGAAAATAATAAACTGAATATTAGATAAAAATCATTTCAAAGTTTATTTTCTTCCTTTTTCATGTATTTTTACAAGTAAAAGGTCTCAAATTTGTTAAGTGAAGACACTCAGCTTTATTTTTTCTGGTGAAAATTTCACACTTAAAAGCAAAAAATGAAACTGACACAGACATGTGTCCTGCTTTACAGTAATGGCATGACTTTTAACACCACATTTAAAATTACCATTGAAAGCTTACTATCTGAATTAAGACGTTTATAGATTATCAATGGATCTTCAAAAAAGAGGGAGTTACTCAGCTACAATCAAAGGGTGATAGTCCTGAAATGAGATGTAGCCGAGAATCATCCTTGAGTTTAAAAGATAATTGATAATATATCTATCGCTGTTTGCTAGGCAATGTCAATAATGTAGGCCTATGACGTCATGCATTATCTTTCTACTTGAATGAGAAAAACAAATATCATTAGAGCAGCACAAGATGGAAAATGTTCATACCGTATGATCAAAGCAATTTTTGAGAAAATAGTGATAAAAATAAATGCCACTCTCTCTTTGAGTCAGACTAAACAAGTTTATACTGTCGGTTAATGACGGACAAATGTTTTATCGAACCTCGTCAACACAACTTTCATCAATCAATCAATTACAAACAACACACTTGATCAATCATACCAGGAATAAAATCATTCATTTTAATTCCAGCCATGGTTTTAACAAATATTTTAATGAGCCCTGTGGTTATTTAAATGTTTGTATTGTTTCTGTATTGAAGAAAGAGAAATAATGGCATTATTTGCTAGATTTCTTTGCCTTTTAGTCTGTAATCTCTTTTTTTTATACCATGTTATATTACGCATCAGTTTTCGCCAAAGCACTGACAACAGCCTTATTGAAGTCTTGCAAGGATTCTGGCGCCCCATCAATTTCTAGCTGCCATTCTGAACTTACAGTGAAGTGTGAGATTTTTTTTTTTGTACTGATGGCCTTACTGTGACTTAGAGATGGAGAACAGCAAGAAGCAAGCTGTTACATTGTTTTGTTTAAAAATTGAAAAGAAGGGCAATCTCATTAAAATCAGCTGTTAGTTTTCGCTATGAGTGTAGCATATCACAACATAGGATCTTAATCAGATTGAAAAGAAGGGTATAATGAATTAATTTATGAAACAAAATCTCCTTGAACATAAGATAAAACTTTTGTCAAGTGTACAAGGATATTTTGTGTCATAAATTCATTCAATAAATCCCATCTTTTCAATTACTCAGGATTTGTCAGTAGTGATATGACAATAAGCTTTCAATGTTTTTTTTAACACAATGTACATATATGAAAACAGTATGAATATTATTTTACCAAGCATATGATCAATCATTCAAAGCAATTTTCAAGTCAATCAAGCATATTATAACATTTAGAGAAAATTACATGTGATAAATGTTTTTACTAAGATGTTATGTACAAGGATTATATGTATTTATAAAAGCAGTTGATGATGATTATAGTTTTCTCTAACTTGCTGCTGGGTTGGTTTATAAATTGTAAGGATGGATTAACATATGATGCAAGCAAAAGCATGAAAATGTTGAAATGCAAATATTATTTTTTCTTTTAAGTACTTTAATTTCCATGGGAACCAGTAGTAACACTGATTCTCTGATTTTAGCTTATAATGTTTTACTCAGATTTAATTTCATCTACTTTAGTGTGAAATGGAATTAAAATCAACAGCAATTTCACACAATTATTTTACATAAACAAACAAATAAAAAATCTTTATTAGAGGGAACGATATTACACATTATTCAGTTGATCTGTGCAAAAGAAGGTACCACTACCTTGACTGGGTGATTCAGGTTGTGCAAGGATTCGTAATCCCTTTACCTCAAACCATTGATGCATAAACAAATTTTCTCTTTACAGGGGCCTGTTTTTCCTGACTTTCATCTGATACATCATTTGGACTCTGCTTACCATACACAAGAAAGGTTGTTATGGTTATAATTCATAACAAGAACAAAATGGTGCATGCATGTTGCCTTTTCAGAATCTAAAGCATTCTGGGTACTATTTCAAAAGTGTGCAACAAAATGTTGTGATTGGTTAAAAACATCTTATATCATGGACATTGACAATGACATGAAGTTCTTTTCATTTTGAGGTACAAATAATGAAATTATTCACAGTCATTTATATTCTGAAACAGTGAAGTGGAACAACATTGTATTTCCCAGATACCTTTTTGTCTTGATTGTATAATTACTTATTGACAAAAATAATTCACATCCATCAATATTAATATTTTATAAACCCATCACAGAAATGGACTGAAAGTCATTCCACAACAAAAATGTCATAATTTGGATACTGACAACTTTTGGACTCCTCTACCTATGACCCAAACTACATGAAATCGGATGAAGCCGTACTACTGCAACTCTTTGTTAATATAAACATGCTATTTGCATATGACACACTACCATGCATCATCTTCTTACAGCAATTCTTCTATACCTAATAAACTAGAGCGTCATGCAGACATGTCTTGCCTACATAAGTGACTATGAGAAACTGACCTAAATTACATATTGAAATTCTAAGATACTTTGGTCAAACTACATTGGTCATTAAAATCAAATAACAGACTATAGATATTATAAAATAAGGTAGAACTATACTATTCATTAAACTAATGTGAATCAATGAACCATGAAAATGAGGTCAAGATCAGGTGAACCTTGTCAGACAGACATTTTATAATGATAGACCAAATATAGTTGAAATGCATTGTATTGCTTACTGAGAAACTTATTCAATGAGCTAATAAAATAAGCTCAAGGTCAGGTCACCTTATTGGACAGACATTTATACTTAATAATAAAAGACCAATACCAATTGACCTATTATTTATGGCAACAAAACACTGACCTTTGCACTACCGATTATTGTAAATGAGATACTATACTAATCATGATAATTTTTTAGAAGTCACTGAATCATGAAAATAAGTTCTAGGGCAACTGAAATAGGCTAAACAGAAACTTCAGACCATATACAAATTATGGATTGTGTAGCTCTTTTACCTCCAGAAATATTTAGCTTTTGTCACCAGATTAGCATTCATGTCTTGCCTTAAGGACCATTCCTTGCAGGCGAGACAAAAATTAAATTACAATCAAAATAGTACCAGATGAGGTCAAAGTCAAATTACGCCTGTTGTATGGACATGCATTGTCTGTAATGATTTCATAAATTAGTAACAATTATTCACAAATGGACCAAAATAAAATGAAATTTGAAACATTGTTCTTTTTTTAAGGTTAGATGTAAGAGTGTGTTGATAAATTCGGCATAATGTTTTATACCATGTACATGTATATAAAGAAGGGTGATAAGATGCCAATACACAATGTACATGTGTATACATAATTACAGGTGAGAAAATGCATAACAGTATATCACACAGCACCAAATATTAAGACAGTTAACCAGAGCATTTCAGTTGATTGAAAGAAAAGAAGTAGACTATATAATACAACATAGCTTTATATCAGAGTACAATGTCACATAAACCTCAAATTGATTGCTTGTTTAAATAAGCTAAAATATGCAAAAATTTTACTGAGTATTATGCAAATCATGCTTTAAAAAATTGATATAAAAAATTTTGAAATTAAAAAATAAATAAAAAATGCAAGTTATGAAAAAGAATATCCAAGGTACAGCATAATACTTAGGACAGAATGCGAGGTAAGTATTTATAAGTAGTGGTAACTTATTGGTCAGTATGGAAATACTATGAGACTGCAGAATTTCTTAAGAAAATGGTTCTGTTTATATTTCTACAGTATCTTTAATCCAATAATTTTTCTAGCTGACATATTATTTGAAAACCATAGTGGATAATATCTAAAAGAATATATTGCTCCTAAGAGCCTGTATCTATCACCTGGCAAATTTGAAATTATAAAAACTGAGCAGGACTTACAAATCCCACTCTCTCTTTAATATAGATTAATTGATTGTAAGTTGCTTAATGTCCAGCAGCAAATTTTTCATGCTTGTTCAGGACGAGAACAAATCAACATAAATACAATAGGTAGGGCCTGTTAAAGAGGCCATCCGGGATGAAGGTTGGGGAAATTCTTTAATACAGATGTTACTAAATAAATGGGATGTGTACAATGTCATTGGACACTAAAGTTTCTTGGAAAGTTCCAGTCTTTAATTCAGAAGGAGTCACAGATTAAAAGTGTGGATAGACAAAGGAACGAACAAATGCACTAATGAACTAACAAACTGATCACTTTACACTATTGCTTCATGTCATTGGAAAATGTTCTATATTTCCAATATCAAATTTTTATCAAAACAACCATTGAATACTGTAAAATACTATCAGCAATGACTAGACTTGTTACAAGAGTATTTTCTGTAAAATCTTTATTAACTTTTAACCTTCTGAAACTACAGTTCACCTTTGGCGGCAAATAACTGATAATGGCACCCAACCTGTAAACCTGGTCAATTCAAAATTCCTTAGTTACTGAAGCATAACTAAGGGTGCCAATAAAACTGCATACCACATATCAATGATATGTAACTACCTAATATGAAATGGACCTTATCAGAAAACTTTCCATTTGGGGTTGATGACATTGACTACACAGAAAACAAAGTCATTTGAAATACAACATTTGCCTTGCTTTGCAACACTCATCATAGGTGGAACAAATATCTACAATTTTTTACAGTATTAGCTATAATTACTTTTTGCCTGGTTTACCTATCTTATCTTATATTTAGAGAAATGGTAGCCATGTTGTTTTATACTCAGTGTGCTTGTCTGACATACTTTTGAAAGCAGAAACTCAAAGGTTGAAATCAATTTAGTTTCAGAGCACATGATCTTTGGGAAAAGTAAATGGATAACCAACAGACAACAGATGAATGTGATGGCAATGACTGAAATGGCCATTTACACCATATGAGCTAAAAATGTAAAAAAGAAGTAAATTTTAAAAACCATGATAGTATAAAGCTTAACTGTCCCAGGACCATGTGATATATGTAATGAAAGTTTAAAAAAAAAAATTATAACTAAACAAAATTCTGCAATCAATATAAGGTTAGAAAAGATTACCATGAGTCAGATAGCAGTTTCACTCATCTGTAGATAAAAATAACATGCTTACATTTAAAAAAACAAGCAATCATTCAAATATTTTAAATTGAAAACAAACTTCTACAAACAAGCAAAGATTTTAAAATAGAAATTGACAGTTTCTAACAGAGCTAGATGTAGAAGAAAGTCAAGAAAATTATTGATGTTAATCCTTATCATTAACTCAGTTATTCAGTAACCTTGGGATTTACTAAAAAAAAATATAACTTAAATGTAAAATATTAGAAATAATTCAATACTATAAATAAGTATTAACAAGGGATAAGAATCAGGATTACCTATCTTATCTAAATATGTTCATTTCTATGCGAAATACCCACATGTCTAATAACAAAAATATTTCAATAGACTTAGAAATAGACATAACTGATAGCAAAAATGGCCTTGTATGATATAGATATACAAGAATGATATATTTTAGAAACAAAAGATTGCATGCTCAAAGTTGCAGATGAAATTTTATTTATCATGATAGGAAGTCATTACTGTTTGATAATGAGATTCAGTTTGGTATCTTTGATATACCAACTGGTTCAAGAATTATATATATTAATCTTTTATGTGTTTTTGTAAGTTTTTTTACGTCTAACAGTTCAATCTTCACTATTTTTTAAAGCTTTATCCCACCCCTCCTTATATTCTTTATGTGCCTGCCTCAAGTCAGGAGCTTGTAATTTATTAGAGGCTATTAATGGTTGCTGTCTGCCATATTTGTGTGTCGTTGATTGTTCTATCATATTTTTTGTTTGAATTTTGTTCACAGTTTTACATGCTGCAGTGTCAAACAGCTTACTATATATATACTGTATGAGTTTTCTCATTGTTGAAGGCCTTACAGTGATCCTTGGCAATCATACTTAATCTCCTTATTTTTATAAATTAAATTTTAAATTAACAGAAAGTGCAGAGCTTTGTGTGTTAATTTTAAGCAGCATTCAATATATCATTCCATACTTTATTACCTTTTTCATCTAGTAACATTAAAAATTATGATTTCTTAAGTTTTTTTAACATGTTTCAATTCAACACATTTATCAATTCTATTTACCAAATTATATAATTGTAGTTATAACTATACACAGTTAGTTACAGAAAATGGAGTTTAAAATCAGAGAAATAGACCAAACTCCAAAGTCTAAGCATAAAAGAAAAACTTTGAAACCCCAAATACTATTGTGTTAACAAATTGTCTTGTTAGTACTGAATTCTCCTTTTATCTTAACATTTAGTCTATCAAGTGATGAAATAGTAAACTATTTTAAATACGGATATGTCTCAGTGGCGGATACAGGGGTGTCCGTATACGATGACGTCCCCTTTGATTGGAAAAAATATCCTTTTTTTTTGCATAAAATAGTCAAAATAATTTATCAGAATTTTCGTCATTTTGGACAAGTATGTTCTCCCTCCCCTTCCATGAACACTGGATCCGCCACTGTGTCTTGCCTGTGTAACCTAATCACAAAATGTAGCAATTGTTGACACTGCCAAAAACTGCCGGCATATGTCTGGCATTGGCAAGTTCCATCACAGGCAAGACAAAACTGCTCTGGTGGAACTAGAGTAAAAGTCAGCTTTTCTAGGTGAGTATTGACTTAGTCTTAAAAAAAATAGTTAACAAGTATGGCTTTTGTTGTAATGATCTAATTCATTAAGCTTGCATTAGATTTAAAAATTTAAAAATGTTTTTTTGGTTTAACATTTTAAAACTAATTCATCAGATAAAGCAATAATAAAAAAAATTGCATACTGTTTTACTTGATACAAATAATAAAAGGAATAACATAAAAACTTTTGGTTTTTAGTAAAGCATTTAAGCATTTAGATGTATAGAAAGCTTGCCTAGCTCTATACAAATTCAATCCCTTATACAATACTACCTTGAATTGTCTCTCCATTTGGCCCTGTTAATTTTGTCTAAAATATTTGTAAAGTTTAAACAGCAGGCGATATTCCTCTAAAAAAAATCTAAAATTCCATTTCAAATACTGTAAATGAAGGGAAGGTAGTAATATATTGCCAGTGTGTTTTATTGAAAGCAAAACAACAACAATATGAAAACTATGGAAAAAATCTGGATCTTTGCAGGATTCTTCTTATACATGTATCATTCAGCATCCAACAAAAGAACTCATATAAAATGAAAATCAATTGGTAATTATGGAGAAGTCACAAAAATATAAATTTGTCCCATTGATTTAATTCTTAAATAACCAGATCCTTGTGAAAAATCTTCCAAAAATAGCCTTTATCCTCCCCTATCTAAATTTATAGGATCAATCTGAAAATACCACAATTAACCCCTACTTTCAAACTCAAAAGATTGATCCTGAAGAAGTTTTGAAGAAAGAGAGTTCACTGTGGGACACTGTTGGAAGATGATATAATAAAAAATATTTTTGAAATAAAAGTGAAAGATAAATTTTGAATGAAAGTGCTTTTTATTAATTCCGAGATGAGAAAAAATCAGAACAATCAAAACAGGTAAAAAAATAAGTTACATATTGTTACTGTAGATTAGTATTACCATCTTCCCTTTTTTAGGTCAGCCTTTATTAAAAACCTGTTATTTAACAGCCCTTATTAAAAACCTGTCATTTAACAGCCCTTATTAAAAACCTGTCATTTCAAATAGTTGAGCTTAGAAAAGATCAAACCTATCATTTCTGGGCATATGTATCCTGAACTCAGGTTGAAGAATTTTTACCTTTAAAGATTTTCCCTTAAAGTGTGTTTAAAAATACCACTGAAAGTTCATACTTGATAACAGATCAAAAACATGTTGTACTCTTTGACAACTTTAAAATTTATGATCCATATATGATTGAAAGTTAATGAACTGGCCTCGATTTCAGGTTGATTGATGGAAAAACTGTGAATCAATATGATGATAGAAACTTGGTTCATTTACCCATGAGAATGAAAGGCCTAGAGTATATTCAAGTTTTATTGATTTCCAATTTGTTGATAAACTTTCAATGGAATTTTTAAACATTGTATAAATAAAAAACAAAATCCCTCAAGCTTTCACCAAAGGGTGCTTATGGTTTTTCCAAGAACATCTCATGCTATACTTGAACCTTTTACCCGGTAAATTATATGAATTCAATATAACATACCAGTGATATCTGAGTTGTTGGTAAGTTTTGCTTCATCATATTCACCCATTTGTCAGTATCTGCAGGATCATCACACTGTAATTAAATGGTTAAACCACATATTATGGATTACATATTTTATATGTTTTTTACGACTACATTACATATTCATGGACAGATAAAATGTTCAAAGAAATAAACGAAATGACTCCAACTACTTACTTTCTGATCAGATGAAGTCATTCATCCATGTAAACAATACTACTGGTTTATAAACTCTGTGTTAGAAGCGCTTTTCTAGATTTACTTTCATCAGGCACTCTTGACCCAAACATTTAACTGGATTTTACTGTGCGTATTGCTGTGTTTGTTTATTCCATAATGGAAAGAGGTATAGGGGGAGGGTTGAGATCTCACAAAACATGTTTAACCCCGCCAAATTTTTTCGCGCCTGTCACAAGTCAGGAACCTCTGGCCTTTGATAGTCTTGTATGTTTTTTAATTTTGGTTCATTTATATGTTTCAGAGTTTAGTGTGACATCCATTTTCACTGAAATAGTAGACATTATTGTTAAGGGGCCAGCTGAAGCCCTCCTCTGGGTGCGGGATTTTCTAGCTGTGTTGAAGACCCATTGATGGCCTTGGGCTGTTTTTTACTCTTTGGTAGGGTTGTTGTCTCTTTGAAACATTCCCAGTTTCCATTCTCAATTTTATTATAAAGCCAAGGATGTATTTAAAAATTGAATGCTTCTTTTGTAAATTTATTGGGGTGCAAAAGCGTTGACCAATGTACATTTTGTATGAAGCACGGAAGCACTTCATTCTAAAAATGTGCGTACGGTCAATGCTTTTACAACCCTATAAAATTACTAAAAGAGGCATTCAATACTTATAATTACGTTTTTTTGCTAGGATCATGAAAATACGATTTCTATTAAGTTTTTCTTTTATTTACCTGTGCACTTTATTGTGGAAGCTTGTGTCATCATGAATGTTACATTTCATTTTGAAATGAAGGTTAATTTCAGAATGACGCGAGATTGCTGTTAGCCAATCAAAATAACGTATTATAATGAAACATACATGTAATGTAATTATAAATACATGAGGGGCTACATGACTAAAAGGCACTTCAAAAAGAATAATCAAAATCATCTAAGGTCAACTTTGCCTGAGGGAGTTTGAACTTTAGTTTCTAAATAATTTCTTATATTATCAGCAGGGAAAATAGAATTGATTTCTGGCAAGAGATCTGACTTATCTTTGTAAGAACCTGAACAAATTAAGGTAATGGTGACCTATAGTTCCATACATCAAGGTCATTTGGTGTCTAGTGGATATTAATCTCATTGGCAATCATGCAAACCACAGCTCTTTATTTTCATATTGTAATCATATAAGGAAATCATTTAATCACCTGAATATAGAATGTTCTTTTGGCTGTTACTACTTCAAACAAATTATCCCTACTTGAATGCCTGTAATAAATAAAATATATGTTGTTGTTTTTTTTTTTATTATACTTGCTTTTCATTACTAAATTAAAAAGACTAATCAGTATTGGAATTAGTCTGGTTATTCCCCCTTGTTTGGTATAAAAATCAAGTTTTGTGTTGGAATTTAGATAAACACAGTTGTGTGTGTATTCAACCTTGGGATTCCACAGGAAATACTATGGAATTGCCAACATGCAAGAAACAGCTATAATAACATCATAACATCTCAATTTCCCATCATATTAGGCATGGTGTTCCTGCTAACAGAAAATATATAATAACATCATGACATCTCAATTTTCCATCATATTAGGCATGGTGTTCCTGCTAACAGAAAATAATGGAGAGAGATAATTGTAAATGTAAATTATCTGATCATTAAATCTGTAAAAGAAAACCCAAACAAATTGACTGAACCAGTCTATATTGATATTCAAAATGTCATAACTATGGTAACAGAATAACACTTTTAATCAAACTTTAACTATAATATGCATTGATGAATACATATGTTAAGCAGTGAGTTATTGTGTAAATATCTGCATATCATAATAGATGCGTAATGACATATTCTACATAAAATTTCACAATACGCTAAATTCATACTTATTTTTCACTATACACTCAGCGTTGTTTTTATTTGATGTGTTTACGTTTACAGTAATACTGATATACTGAACTACTGCTTTTTCTTACCTCAATCTGTTTCTCTCTCTCATTAATGGGTGCCTATAAACAATATGCTCAAACAGGCAGTTAAAAACAATTTAACCTCATGTGGTTTAATTTGTCTCCAACAATAAATCCATGTGCAACTTTTTGTAGCTAAATCAATAAAACGTCACTTAGGTGTAGCTCTATTGGTAATAGAATCTATATACCAAATTTAAATGTATTTAATCTGATCAGAACAAATGGAACTTTCTGTGATTTTGTTGTATATTTCACATTTGATATAACCACCAGAATCAATAATGTAGTTGATTTTTTCATGACCAAGACGATTTCCATTTTAATTAACTCAAACCTAGTCCAATAAGGATCAGGGTAAATCTATATGCTCTTTGACACATGTGGAGCATAATCATTAAGGTACTTACCCTGATGAAGATCTTCTTACATCAATGATGTCAGCCTTTGGTAATGTTCTTAGGGGTTCTTTTGCCTGCAAAAATGAAATAGGAAAGTTTCTATTTTAACAAACTTTCAGATGAAAATTATTATGAAATCTATTTCATTTAAACTCAACTTTTTTATTGCTTGATTTCATTTCAGGTTTTATTTCAGCTTCCGCTTCAAATAAAAATTTGTAAGGGGTTCCGCAAAACCCAGTGTCTTGCCTGCAATTGTAGCTGTCAGTTTAAAAGTGTAATGTTGACTTAAAAAGTGTGTCCATTTATCAGTAAAATACAGAATTCTAAAAAAAATTCAAACTTTTTCTTTAGATGCTATTTCATGGTCTGGAAGATTAGCTTCTGTCTAAGTTTCATAACAATCCACGAAAGTTTAAATATTTATTATGACAAAGAAGTTTAATCCCAGACTGTCTGTAAATGTTAAGTGTAAAAAACTAAGTCCAACTATCAGAAAAATACTGAAAATGACAAAAAATATATTTTCAAAAGTTTGCTTCAGAAATTATCTCTTAATCATAGGCTTCTGCAAAAGTTTCATGAAATTCTATGAAGGTTTGATAAAGTAATCAATGTGTAAAAAACATTAACCCCAGACTGTATCTATTTGTCAAATGTAAAAAAAAAAAGTCCATTTATCAGTTATATATGGAAATATGAAAATAAGTTTTTTCAAAAATTTGCTCTGAAAGTTGTATTTTGGTCATAGCTAAGCTTCTGTCCAAATTTCCTATAGAAGATATTGATGACTGAAAAACTTTAACCTCAGACTGTATCTACTTGGTAACTGTAAAAAATAACTAAGTCCATTTATCAGTAAAATACAGTAAAATGAAAATAAATATTTTTAAAAATTTTGCCCTGGATACTGTCTTTTGGTTATAAACAAACTTCTGTCCAAATTTCCTAAAATTCCATGAAGGTTTGACAAAGTTATTGATCACTGAAAAACTTTAACCTCAGACTAAATCTGAATCTGAATGTTAACTGTAAAAAAATCCATTAATAAGTAAAATACGGAAAAACGAAATTAAATATTTTCAAAATTTTGCTCTGGATATTGTATTTTGGTCATAAACAACCTTCTGTCTAAATTTCCTAAAATTCCATGACGGTTTGACAAAGTTATTGATGTCTAAAAAAAATCTTTAACCACAGATTGAACCTAAATGTTGACGCTGCCAAAGACAGAATCTATCATCGCCAAAGCTCGCTTTCGCAACATAAATGTTGCAGGTTAGACAAAAACCAGCCAATAATGCGGACGGACAAGGGTAAAACTTAATGCCCCCTCCGCTACTGCTGAGGGGCATAAAAATGCAGATCTATCTGTTTATGACCTGTTTTTGATAAGATACCACCATCTTTCATTAAACTTCCACCATTGTCAAGTAATTGCTTCCATAGTTAAACTAGCGAGTTCCCATTGTTGAAAAGTGTAGAGAAACTGTTTTGACTTTTTTTCCTTTTGCTAGTAGATGCCATTCTGGTTTTTTTTTCCAATTACATGTTTAAAATTCTCCAACATAGTAGTAAATCTACAGGGCAGTATCGACTCACAAACCCCTCTTGTAAGATTATCCTCAGAAAAGGTTAAATTTTCATCCATGGAGCTCCCTGCAGTTATACTAATCTAAGAATATAAGCATTTCCAATATGCAAAACTTACTCTATCAGAACTATAATACTGAAATCCATTTTCAGAAAACACAAAATATCTTCTCTTCCAATTCTTTCTCTACAAAATGCAATTATTACTTCTTCATAATTTATATAAAAGTATTATAAAAAGTAAAGACACTAGTAACATTGGCTTTACCTAAGTCTGTTTTACATATAATTGCCAAAAAGTACAATTTCTTACATAACGAAATATCAAATCTATAATTTTTGAATGAGGAGGAAGTTCTTTTTAAATAAAAATATATATGTGACAATTACATAGTACAATTTAGTTATTCATTAATACAATTCATACAATTTAAAAAAATCTTGGAGCATGATATTTATTACTATATACAATTTAATACAATCTTGGATCATGATATGTATTATCAAAACTTAATACACTCTTGGAGCATGGTATACACACTCAACAATTATGAATTCTTTCAGCAGTATATAAATCCTTTCCAATATTATCAAGTTCTTTAATATTACAAACTGATAAGTTTATAAGAAAGAAATTAAGTCAAGCATACAATCAGTACAATTTGGGGGAAACAAATAACTGTTTTATGTTTTCTATACATGACAAAATAAATGGAAAACAGTTGAAGTTGTGACCGAGTACCACAGAGTAGGTTAATTGTTGAAATAAACTGTTATCACAGAGATATGTCTCGCCTTTTTGTAATTTTGATAATGCAAATGTTAAAATCAAAATAGCAATACTTTAACATGTAAGTTATGCTAATATTCAAAGTTGATGAACCATGACTGAAGGTACATGGCTAAACAATCTCCATGGAATGAGATGTGCCAATGCTAATACAACTGCATACCAAATACCATTGACTTATTAAAAGTCGTTCCCTTTAAACAAACCTAAACACAAACATTAACTTGTAAACTATGTAAAAGTTTCAAAGTCAATGAACCATGATCAGGGGTGGGGCTATATAATCTCCATGGAAACGATACTTGCAAATGCCAATAAATTTGCATACCAAATGTCATTGACTTAACATTAGCAGTTCATCTTAAACTGATCTAATCACAAACTAATACATGTAAAGTAAGCAAAAGTTTCAAAGTTTATAGACCATGACTAAGGGGGCGGAGCCAAATAATCTCCATGGAAATGAGATATGCCAATGCTTATACAACTGCATACCAAATATCATTGACCTACCACTAGTGGTTCCCCATAAATTGACCTAATCACAAACTAATACATGTGAACTATGAAAAGTTTCAAAGTCAATAGACCTTGACTGAGGGGGCAGGGCCAAACAATCTCCATGGTAATGAGATGTGCCAATGCAAATACAACTGCATACCAAATATCATTGACCTACCACTAGTGGTTCACCATGAACTAGACCTAATCACAAACTAATACATTGTTGACACCGCCGACACCGGAAACAGCATACCTATGTCTCGCTTTTTGACTCTGTCAAGGTGAGACAAAAATTTTTTACCCTGCAGTCAAAAGTTGGTTAGATGAAAAAAGTCTATTTGGTGTTAATGTTTTGTGTGTCCTTTTAAATAGAAATATGAGTATGTGGAGGGGTTAATTAGATTTTTAAACCTAAACCCACCTCCTATCAATCTCACTAAGTTAAATAACAAAATAAAAGTACATACCATACCGCCTTGTTTAACACAGTATCCACTAATATAACTCGGGATTGTACTTGCTGACAGACCTGATGACTCATTTGGACTTTCATCTGATGACCCTGGTTCTTCATCACTGACCTTCATATAAAATCAGTCAATGTTATTTTGCTCAGAAATTATGTTAATAGTTTCATTATATTAAGAAAACAATCTGCAGTTATAAAGAGATTTTTCACCAATTTTTTTGCAGTTCTTTCTGTCATTTTAAAAAGTAAAATTATTTCAACATATCAAAATGCAACTACATGTATGTTTAGAATTTAGGGATGTATTGGCTAAAATAAAGTTTTAAAGTTCTTTAAAAGATATATTTCCACACTTAAAGCATTTTTAAAATAGTCATTTTCAAGCAGTTCTTTCCAAGTAAAGCAACTTTTAAATAATTTTCAGAAAACAAAGTAACTGGAATTTGTTAAAACAACTCACAAAAATCATTTCTAAGAATTGTTAAAAAAAAACAATGTTAATCAACTTACAATTTTATAATTTAGATTGTTTCTTCCAAAAACTCTAAACAGGGGAGGTGTGAATTAGGGAATCAAGACTATTTTTATCCCTATATCTCTTCCCCTTCCTTTTAGCAAATAAATAAAGTCAGCATTTCAACTATTTTATATCCTTGTGGAATGCTTTTTTTAAATTATCCCCCCTCTCACTAAAAAGTATGGTTTGGTTTTTCACCATTGGCTGCATGTATTTTACTAGCTGAAGAACTAGCTCTTATGGTCCTTATGATATTTTTTGCGGACCATATCTATTTTATCTATGGTCCGCAAATAGTCAAAAATTATCATAAGGACCATAAGAGCTACAATTCCGCAGCTAGTATGTTACAATCTACATGGTCATTTTTACAATGTCCATTTATACTTTCTTTTTAGAGCTATTCCATTAAAATGTATGTGGGAGGGTAGGAAGGGAATTTAATTATTGAATGTTGGTCATGGGTCTTTTTTCAGTATGCATCTATTACCATTGTGCAAAATTATCTAAAAAATGGTTCTTGGTTGTAGGGATATTTTGAAAGTCCCTTCCTACCCTCCCACATACATTTTAATGGAATAACCCTAATTGAAGTTGATTTCATTATGATGAATTACGAGACATTAGTATGCTAGCAAGGATTTTTAACAGCAAAACATTCTATTAAGCAAATCATGTAACTCAAACATGTTTTTATCATATAAAAACTTAACATCTATGTTCTACAATATCAAAGCCTTGAAATAAAATCACATAATTTGTGTTCAATCAGATAGCCAATCAGAATATTGCCGTCTGGAAAAAATATCCGGAAATTTGACTGAATTTGCTTTGTTAAAAAATTACCGAAGAGCCTTAACATACATAGTCTATTTTGAAGTACAAAGGAAAGGCTACCTTACAATTATTCTCCCACTTAGCAAGACCAATTGTAAAATCTTATTAAACCAGACCCCTAACCTCAAACAATATTACAGACCGGGGCAGAGTTGTGAATATTATCTAGAAATGCTAGAGTGAAGTGTATCTTTGAACCCAAAATCAAGAATTTTAATAGATAGAAGAAAGCACTGTTGTTAAGTTTTATTGTGGAATATTTAACTATAAAGTCACTGTCATACAATATTTTACAATTTTGTAAAAAGCAGCAAAACTACTTTTACTGTGAGAGAGTTAGTCTGTCAAAAAAATATTTTCAATTATTTCATTCAAGGATTAAATCTTTAATGACTGAATAAGTTTTAGCTGTTTACATTTATGCTTTTAAAAAGAATTGTTTTACCTCTGTGCCAATAATAAAAGGTGCATTAACAAGATCATTATTCTATAAAAGGGAGAGTAAGAAAATGTTCTTAATTTAAAATAATTGGTGGATACAGGCAGGGAAAGGTCATGACAGGGGTTTGAAAGCCCTTTCTATAGCTTTTTTATAATCCCCTTTAAAACTAAGACTTGACCCCCCTTTCCAGATGGAACAACAAAATTATAAAATGCTGTTAGATTGGTCAAATAACATATTAGCATCCTCTTCATTTGAACTTTGGTGGATAGTTGTCTCATTGCAATTGGCAATCATACCCTATGTCCTTATTTTTATAAGAGACTGAAAAGGTCTTTCTTTTTTATTGTGACAAGATTGCCAGGTTTAACATTTTTTTTTAGCTCAAGGACTGTTAATGATCAAGCTTTATGCAAGTAGGCAAAAACATACAACCCTAGCCTATAAATTAATGAAATTATTAAGTTATTAATCCATTTATTGTAAAATTATTTTCTTATTTCATATTTCAATACTTCTTGACACAGTTCTCCTCTTTATGACCCTCTCTGAACTAGTTACAGTTAAATTTCATGAGAATATGATAAAAAGGAAGTAGCTAGTACATTTGTACTATATTTCAGGAAGGTCACTTTTAACATTTAACATAATTAGGTCAACCATTTATTTTTCAAATAAAATTTTGTAAATAAATATTTTAAATTTCAATCAATAATTTTTTGAATGTAGCACTATGTTAATGAGAAAACAACAAGTCAATTTTATCATTTAACATTTAGGTCACACATCTATTTTGGAAGGAAATTTGTAAATAAATATTTTAAATTGCAATCAGTAAATTTTGTATCTAGCACTATGTTAATGATAAAACAAGCTTTATCCTAATGCTTGTAGTTTAATGGTTTTGTTGGCTTGCTTGCTTTGTTTGTATAAATGTTTGCTCAAGCATTGTAATTAAGATTGGCATCTGCAATCAATAGATAGGCGGGGCTTCAGCTTGTATACATTATTGACACTTAAATGTTATTGGGTGTTACGTATAATGTAAACAAGCTGAAGTCCCGCCTATCTATTGATTGCAGATGTCAATCTTAATTACAATGCTTGAGCAAACATTAATACAAACAAAGCAAGCAAGCCAACCAAACCTTTAAATTGCTAGCATAAGGTAATCAGCTTTAAACATAAAAAAAATAAATTAATAGGTCACATATTCATTTTTTGTATATAATTTTTTAAACAAATTTTTTCAAATTGCAATCAGTAAATCTTAGCATGTAGCCATATAAATGATAAAACAACAAGTACTAAGATTTTTTCAAGGCATTGATATGATCCTGATGAAAAAAGCTAACCAACTGGTTCTGCACACAACAAACTATCTTACCTGAACCTTATTGTACTGTATTAATCAAATAGTTAAATCAATTATATTTTGCTATGATTGTTTCTTTGCTCCTGGGGTACCTATATCTGGTTGTGATGCTACACAGTGTTTCAACAAAAAACTTTCCAATAATTTAAGCATTTAGTAGCCTTCTTTGTACAGTATAACTATGAGAAAAAGTACCATAGAAAATGAAAGGATATGGAGTAAATGTACATGGGACAAAATCGCACACAATACATAGAAAACATAGAAAATTATCAATGAACAGGGCTTTTATTCCTGTTCTTCATCTTGACAGCTGATGTAGGGTCTTCAACAATGAACGAATCATTTATACCCTACAACAAGGTCAAGATGGCCCCTAGCGTCGACTTAAGCGGTACTATTGATAAAAATAAACACAGTTCACCTTCTTGCTCCCCATGATTAGGTAGGATTTAGTGAATCTTTACCCCTTTAATTATTAACTGTCATATAAATTTGCAGATGTTTTGAAAATCCAATATTAACTTTTGTTCATGACTTCAATTTTCTCTGTTGTTAAACATGATTTTGAGTTGCTCTTGGTTTATAATAGTTGCTCTTGTTGTGGGTAGTTTTGAAGTTACTGTTAATGGCATCTAACCAATTTGATGGAATGAAATTGACTGACATAAATGATAAATCAATTAAGAATCAAAATTAAACTGTTGATCTAGAATACAGATCTTGCATTTTTTCAATGGAATATGGGTTGGTGTAAAATATCCTTTTATTTTATTTCATCTATTGGTACACAGGTAAATAGATCGAATGATTCTGATTTTTGACCAAATAAATAAATACTTCATGTAACATTTGATTACAAATGTCATTAAATAATCTCTGACACATTAAGCTATTTTCCTAATGCTTGTAGTTTAAAAGGTTTGGTTGGCTTGCTCGCTTTGTTTGTATAAATGTTTGCTCAAGCATTGTAATTAAGATTGACATCTGCAATCAATAGATAGGCGGGGCTTCAGCTTGTATACATTATACTTAAATGTTATTGGATGTTTAGTATAATGCACAGTATAACATATACAAGCTGAAGCCCTGTCTATCTATTGATTGCAGATGTCAATCTTAATTACAATGCTTGAACAAACATTTATCCAAACAAAGCAAGCAAGCCAATCAAACCTTTAAACTACAAGCATTAGGAAAATAGCTCTTACTGCAGAACAAACATTCCATTTCAATCTTGTGTCAAAGATTGCTTACCTAAGCAATTTGTATTTTAAATTCCATATCAAAATACCTTCATAGGTATTTCACATACACGTTTGGCCCCACCAGCAATTTCTGGTTCAACTTCCATATTTAATTACCTTCATAGGGATTTTACACACAACTCCACCAGCAATTTCTGCTGTAAATCCTGCCTTTGTTTCCTTTTTACCATTACCAAGATCCTCATGCTTTACTGGTACCTGAAATCAAACAATTAAATGTTTACTGATGATTTAATGAAAACAAACATGAGTGCATATGCTGAAATTTCTCGCCTGCCTTACTGATCATGATTGAATATATGTCGAAAGTCTTAGAGAAAAGGTCAAACGACAAGTACTACATAAAATAAACATTATCAATGATCCATGTAATTGAGGTCAAGTCTGTATCTTTCCCAGTGACTTTCCTAGCTGGCAAGACAATAAAACAGTACACACAAGTTTTAAATCTGTATGAGTAATAAAATAAAGCTTAAATCTAAAATTAGACAATGTGATAGTCAAAAATGATATAGACATTATGTCTGGGTAAAACTAGTAAATGAATTAGGCAATACCTAAAATGAGAACTTGCATCTAGTCAAAAGGACATCAAGACATTATAAGTTAAGTCACTAATAAGAAATGTTAACTTTTTAACTTATTTTTTTTGGCTGTTCTAAAACAAATAGAGGGAAAATTTGTTTTTAAGTAAAAACAAAAATTTCATAAAAGTTGATTTAAAATAGAATTCCACTGACATGTGCTGTCATTTTCCATCACCCACAAAATGTATATTAACAACAGAACATGCAATACATTTTATACACATGTAATGAAAATAATAAAGTTTTGAAATGTAAAAAAATTGACAATGTCTTGCTGAATTCAACAATTTTCCCGTTTTTTTTAGCAAATAACTTTAGGTCCCTTTTGTTCATATAGCTTATTTAGTGTTTCATTACTTATATATCCTTTGATTTCAAATTTTGGCTTTGACCTTCCCTGATGGCGGTAATCCAGGAAAGTGCTTTATACTCATAAAATTTATATCGTTATTTTCATCTAGAAAAGTTTTTTTTTACTTACAGTTATTTTACTAGCATCATTTAAAGCTTTGATCCATCCTTCAAGATCATCTCCATCCTCTGCCTCTAAATAAATGGTCCTCCCGGCATATGTTATTGCTAAAATTCAAATAGACATCTTAGAAAAGACAATGAATTTTTGTAAACAGGGATCTAACTTTATTCATATATGTATTCTTAAGCTTCCTCCACCAATAAAAACTGACATCCACGAAATAGTCAATAGTGTTGAAAGTGGCGTTTATAACCAATCAATGTATTCTTAAAATTCAAGGTTGGTGTTGTGAGAAAATTAAGAGTGGTAATGAAAATGTAAGGGTGGAGGAGCTGTTATAGTCTGTGATTGACTGTTAGTTGCTTAATGTCCAGTGGCAATTATTTCTTGCATGTTCAGGACAATGTTATAGTCTGTGATCCTGAGTTATGTTCTGAAGGGAATTATTTATTACAAAACAATATTTCATATCAAATTTGACTAAAATTGAATTTTAATATTTTGCCCAACTACTTTTAAATAAAGTAACCACATTTTTTTTCTCTTAATCTCATTGTATATATTCACATGTGCTTTTAATTTGTACTTACAGAAGCAGTTATCAATTTTTGGTCTAAGCTTCCTGGCATCACTAACCTATATAATAAAATAATAATACTGGTAAGTTGCAAATTGGGTCATTATCATAATCACATTTTAACAATTCTTAACTGATACAATTTGTACTTAACAGAAATTTAAGGTTGCAATTCCCTCAGGCAAAGATGATCTAAGGTGGTTTTGGGTCTCCTTTTTGGTAATTTTTATAAAGTACATGTAGATTCAACATTTTTATTACTAATTGGCTATCCAAACTTTTGAATGTGGGGCATCCTGATGATAGTTAATCTAAAACTGTATATTGAATGCAGCAGAACCTGTAATTTTTACTTTAAATCAAATAACCTTATCCACAATTACTCTTTGGTTGCAAGTTTTAAATTCTACAATTCAATGGAATGTTTCAATTGATATAATTTGAGTGAAAGTTATTTCCCTTGTATGCCATGTTGGAGGTCAACATGCACAAATTCCTTGATATACCATGAAATTAAACTTGTTATACTGACTGCTTCACTTAATAAAAAGTTGTTTTCTGAACAATTTTCATTGGTTTAAGCATTGTATAGTTCATCACTACATATGTGATTGTAGTGATGACCTATACAATACTTAAACCAATGAAAATAACTATAACTATAAAAGAAGAGTGTTCCACTGTCTCCCGCAATAAATCTGTGACAATTTTACTTCAATTGGTATTAAGTTGCTTATAATCTAACAAGAAATGACTGTACAATAATTTTTATTGAAAAAAAATAGTTTTAAATGAAATTTATAGCAAAAAAATTGTAAGTAACAAATACTTATTGCATAACACTGTATACATGTATACATGTATCATCAACATCAAAAGATAAAATACTAATTTTTAAGTGGCATACCCTTGAAATAAAGTGAATTTCTATCTCTCCACAAGTTTTACTGTAGTCAGCATGTAAATTCTGAAACAGGAATATCACAATATATATATATATCAAAAAATTATCATCATCATGTATATATCATGATAGTAGAATTGTAATACATTGTACATGTACATGTGATATTGTGAACCCTACATGAATAAACTGGTTAAGGAGTCGAAGTAAATATGAAATTGTACATTTAGTATAGCATGAACTGAATACATTCTAATTTGAGGCAAATAAGAAATAACATAAGCATTTTATAAGGTCAGATAAAAAAAAAGTTATAATACTGTACATAATGTACTTGACTAAACCTATTATTTTACTCAAAGTTTTTCTTGCTGGTCATAAAAATAAAGAGTTTCAGTTTGCTTCAACCTTTTAAAACTGTATCAAGTTTTGTCAGTCATAACTTCAGGCATGGCAGAAAACATCTGAATTTCACTACTATACATATAAACTTTACCATTATGTTTATACAAGAACAATCATGACAATAAAGTATATAAAACATGAAATTTAGAAGGTATGTCACTTACTCCAGGATTGTCTTTATAATAATACAGTCGACTTTTCTTCTCATCTAACAAAAAATATCTACGTAGAAATTTTCCACTTCCCTCTTTTTCCTCTGCATTTAAGAAACCACAAAATTTTCCGTTCTTATCTTTGTAAGGCATTGTTCTTCATCTTATAGTGTCTGGAAGTAATATTTAAAAACGTTATTAAAGTTAATGTAGATTTCTCATTTTCATCTGCTCATTATGGGCAGCTCTCTTCTCTGCCAAATCAATTTGACTGGATTATGTGGGTAAAGGTAAACATGGTAAATCATGTATTTAAATGTTCAACAAATTAAGAATTTTCTGTATGCTGTTATGCAGACAATGACAAAATACAAACTCAAATTTCCACAAACATACATAATTTCCTCAATCAACAAATATTGGTATCCACAAATATTAACACTGATTAATGAATATACAGTAATCATAAAGTATGACTTTATATCAAAAATATTAAATACAAAAGTTTAACTATAACTTATCTTTTCTCTGCATGCTAGTTATGTTAAATTCTTATGATGAAAGAAAAGAAATGGCATGTCCGATCTTAGATTAGGCCCAGGGGACTTTCTAGAAGTGTTTCCCACTCTATGCCTTCTCCCATCATGGACAGGAGGAAATGATAAAACAATAAACTTTTCAAATGTAGGGTTATACATATAAATAACTTACAAAACTTGTATAGAATGTTAGTTAGTCTCAAATAAAATGTACCAAATGTTCTGATACTAATCATTATCATGTTATATACATTTACATGAAGCTATACACATATTAAAAATAAATGCCTTCTCAACTAGGCTAAGCTAAAGTCAAATTATCTATTTTAGATATGTGGGAAGGCTAGTACTGTTTACATGACTTTTGGGTATGGACCTTGAGGTAAGATTTGAATTTGGAACCCCATATTTATCTTACTTTAATATCACACAAAATCTACATAAAAACTGGGCTGCATCATGTGTATGCCCAACCCTAGATATAATAGGCAAAAATGAAAAAAAAATGGTAAAATTCATGATTTAAGGGCAATAGCTCCTATAAGAAGTCATTTTACAGTTTTTATTTAAATGGACAATAATTGAAAAGGATTTAATTCCTGCTGAATTTAGACCTGCCAACTCGCCCCATTAACAAAAAAAATGTATAATCCCTTATAATTTTGGCCTGTCAACTACATTTCATAAGTGGGGCGATTTGGTAGGTCTAAATTCAGCGGGATTTAACTCACTGTCATGGGTGGGGGTGAGTTGGTAGGCCGGAAATCATCGGGATCAGAGTGGGGTGAGTTGTTACATGTAGGCCTAAAATCATGGGGATCAAACTACATTTCATAAGTTGACGCTTTGGTAGGTCCAAATTCAGGGGGATTTAACTCTTTTTCCTGAGTGGGGCAAGTTTGAAGGCCGAACTTCAGCCAATTGTAATAAACCCTTTTCCTAAGTGGGCCTTAGTGGGGCGTCAATACACCTTATCGCTATTTGTCCGCCATTACTGGACATCACACAAGTTCCCGTAAAATTTTGACGTCATAATAGAAAATGTCTGACGCCACAATGGAAAAGTGATTGTTGTATGACGTCAAAAGTTCGAGCGGGACAGATTCTCGGGTCAAGCGGGAATAGCGATAAGGTGTATTGGGCAAGTTGTCATGCATTTGCTGTGATGATATTGTTTTGAAGATGACATATATACAGTGTATGTTATATTGTGGTTCTGTGGTACACCAAAGAGAGCAAGTTTTACAAATGAAGCATTTACATGACATTATCTAACACAAGCCTATTTTCCAAGAAATTCCTTATAAGGTCTATTTATTATATGCATGATAATGATAACTAAAACAGTACAATTTCACTGGAGATGTGGGCTTAGAAACGCTACTGAGAACGGGGCTACTTGCAGAAGTATGTCAAATGAATACAAAACGGTAATGTGCATGTTTTTTAACGAAACTTACTGTCTTTGTCACAGAAAAAGACTGTTTACCTTTTCCTTGCCGTTTCAGGATACGGAAGTAAAATAAAATATGGGGACAATCTCCAAATACAAAAAGGTTGGTTCGAGATTAATCGCTTCACTATGTCTATTTTCTTATTTCTCTGAGTTAAATTAAGAATTAACAAATACTTTAAGTATAACTTTATAAATGAAAGTATCATAATTATGATATATATGCTTTATTTTATTTAGACAATATCATTTCTTATGCTACACCGCATTTTTCATTGGAACTAAGCGGCATTTGTATGGGCATAAGCGACGGAAACGTACTACGAAGGTCTTTGCTATTAAGATGTAAACAACTTTTCCCCATTTGAAAAAGGTAAAGAATGTATATTTAATATAAAACCCATATCAGTTAAATTGCCCTTTTTCATACATTTCAGATGGACGTGCCTGCTTACAAGTCGACCATTGAAGAAAATTAAAATATAACAAATGATACAGTTCAAAAGAGATCGATTTTGAATCACTGATTATAAGTACCCTTTTTCAAATCTATATCAAGTAAGCAATAAAATAAGTGAAATTAATAACAGTCCAAAAAAACTGTTAAATGTCTGACTTATTTTTCGTATACAATACAATCATAACATGAAAACTACTTTGCATGCAGTGTAAATAGTGGGGATACAGTGTTTTTGGTGGTGGAACCGTTCTACATACATCATGTGATTGTATGGTTATCCTATAAGGATGTAAATATCCACTGAAGAAGATAAGCATATCCCTCTGTCCCCTAAAATTAGTGATGACCCAAAATCAATCACCATGTTCACTATTCAGAATCTCGTTTTTACTGGAGATTTGTTGTTGATGTAATTTATCATCAGTACAGAAATATAATGTCTACCATACAATTAGCTTAACCATTACTCGCGACATTTTGTGAATGATCCTTGTGTTGTAAGTGGTATTCACCTTAAATAATAATGTAAGAATTTCACAAAACTTGTCAAATACATGTAAGTATTCTAGTAAAAGAAGCATAGTAGGGCAGTCTGTCGTCAAGGGACATAAATGTCCCTAGCACAGTCAAAGGGTTAATGATAACTTTAAATGAGATTTTAGTTAAGTATTAATGCTTGTTTTAAATTTCACTTGAAAAATGTTGTTATTTGTTTTAACCTTTTAAACCACCATTTGACATGTTTGACAGCCAATTATTTAAGATTACATGTAGTCTATTTTACACTGTTTAACATCTAACAATCCAGTACATGTAGTCTACTTTACAGTTTTAAAAATATAACAATAAAATTTATACATGAAGTCTGCTTAACAGTGCTAAAAATATCAGTTAAACAATCAAATACATGTAGCTTACTTTACAATCATTGTGTTAAATATATAAATGATTTAGACTTTTGGCTCTCTTGTAGATCAACAAAACATCTTAGCAGTATGTCATTCCAATTGAATTTGCCACCCTCTGCCGTGGCAAAGTTGGCCAAAACAGAAGATGACTTGCCAAAGAAAGTGTCCAGAGAGGAATGGAGAAAACAGAAAGAGCTTGAGGAAGCAAGAAAGGCAGGAACAGCTCCAGCTATGGTGGATGAGGAAGGAAAGTAAGTTTAATTTATACGTAAATAAAGGATTCATACATTGAAAAAATCTAAATGCTTTGAGTGGAGATTATATATAGATTTAGGTTGTTTCCAGTAGTGACAAAATGAAGCCACCTTTTAGAAAATGATTTCTTTATTACAAGAACATCTTTCAGTTGCTACATTGTAACATGATGCTGTAATAAATGTATAGGTTTTTAGTTTTGCTTGAAGATTTTGTCCAATATATTTTGAAAATGGAGAGTTAAACAACTTCAAAATCAGTGACAAACATGTACACCTCACTACATATCCATTTTTTTCATTTATCCTGCAACCAACCTTTCTACTATACAAATACAGGTGTGCAGATAACATGAAGCGATAAAGGTTTATTTTCCTACAATGTACAGTTATTGTCTATATATTTTATAACATAATAAATGAAATCTTAATTGTCTTTTAGAGAAATAAATCCTCACATTCCTCAGTATATTATGCAAGCTCCTTGGTATTATGGTGTAGATGCAGCAACACTCAAGCATCAGAGAGTTCAACCAGAGACAATGAAACCTATATCTGAAGTGGGAGCATGGTACAAAAGGGGTGTTAAACAGGTATTTTCAGAAAAAGTTGATCTGATACACAAATACAAAAATGTATTTAAATTCGTGGAGTAATCAAAGAATAAATGCTTTTTGAATAACAACGTGTATATATATGATTTTATCAGGTGTAAGTGCCTATAAATAGCAACATATAACATACAAATCTATTAGAATGTGGATTAATCAGTACAAACACTAAACATAAACAAAAAGTATATACATTGTATGCAGTTTATCAGGATCTTAAGTACTTCAAACTTCTTCAGTTATATGAAAAGGTTAGAATAGGAAATTAATTCCATAGTTTCAATAATTTTGTTGAACTTAAATTTAGTCACAGAATTTGATGGTCTCTGTGTATCATGTTTTTCAAAGATGAGCAAAGAAATGATTGTCTTAAAAGATTTTTGCTAAAAAGAAACTGGATATAGAGCTTTAAAAGGTCTTGCAAGAATATTGTTTACTAGTACATAATGTTAAAAAGATGATGTCATTTTATAAACAAAGGTTGAGTTTAATTATTGAATAATATTATAGGGGTCAGTTGCTACAAAATTCAGAAAAGGAGCATGTCAAAACTGTGGTTCTATGACACATCAAAAGAAAGATTGTTTTGAAGTAAGTATTATTCACATATTTTATAGCAAAATATATTCTGAAAAAAACTTTAAAATATTCAGCTTCATCACATTCCTCAGTATATTATGCAAGCTCCTTGGTATTGCTACAAAATTTAAAAAATGTGAAATATTTTCCTGTATTTATTACTGTGTTGGAACAAATTTTATAATAATATTTGATTTTTATACATCCACCAGAATTTGGCCAAATGATTGCTTTTATGTATCTTTGAAATTGTATATGAGCAACTTATCTGAAATGTCTTGTTTAAAAGTTTTTACTGTTTCAATTGTGTCTTTTGCATTTTTTGCATTATTGAAAACAGCAATATTTTCTAAATTTGATCCATACGATTCCATAGCAATATTTTCTATATTTGATCTAAGACATTTGGATCATATGTCCTTTTAATCCTTACAGAGACCAAGAAAGATAGGAGCTAAGTTTACAGGGGACGATATTGCACCTGATGAACATCTACAACCCAACATAGATTTTAGCTATGAAAGTAAGCGAGATCGATGGAATGGCTTAGATCCAGAAGAACACCAAAAAAAGATTCATGAAGAGTTTGCTCGTATTGAAGAGGTGTGTTAACAGCTAACTAACATAGCTTTTCTGACCAGTACAATCATTTTCAGATACATCATCTGAACAAAATGACATTTTATTTATTTTTATTTCATGAAGTACAAAGCAGTCATGTGAATGGTGTTTAAAAGGGAGTTTTTTTTTCGGTTTGACTTTTGGTATATATGGCGTGAAAATTATATGCATATTGAATTTTTTTTTTTATTATTTGTAATCTTCTAAAGAGACCAATAATTAAGATAATATATAAAATCTATACAGTAAATTGGAGAAGAAAACAAATGATTGCCAACATTTGGATATCTGTAATTGAAGAGAAATTTTAAAGAAATTTGGATGAGAATACTTTATGGTGTGTTTGTTCTTGAGATAAATTTTCATGAGGGTCTAGAAATTCTAGATAGGATTTACAAAATTGAAAATAATGGCCAAAAATACAAAGAATAGAAAAATATGGCAAAAATAGAGAATAATGTGGTGCTCGAATATTAAGAATAGAGAATAATGGGCTACATTCTGTTCTTTTATTATGTTTGTTCTTTTCTGGTATTTTCTATGTTGATTATATCATATAGTTCCACCCATATCCTTTCTTTAAAAATTCCCCAACACCTTTTATATGATACAATGTATATCTTAAATAAATGAAAGATTATTTTTGTTCTTATAATGGTAGATTACCTTTAATACATTATTAATATTGATAACTAATACCTTATAATTTATACATATTACAGGCAAAAAGAACTTTAAAAGAACAGAGTTTAGACTTGTCATTAATGGAAGGTGATTCAGACAAAACAGAAAAGGTAAGTTGGTAATGATTTGTATACATTTATAGATATTGTAGTTCCTTTTATTGCATATTCTTAATTGTTAAGAATTATCTGTCAGTTTTTTTCTCACCTGCCCGATATAGGATTGCTATTTCAAATGATGGCTACAGCAATGTCAAATATAGTTAATTTTGTGATTAGGTTAGTGTTAAGGAACCTAAAAACAGAAAGTCAGTGATATTTGGTATGCAGTTGCATATTAAAGCTTTTGCACATTTCATTTCCAAAGAGACTAATTGGTCCCACCCCCACTCTCTGTCATGGTCTATTGACTTTGAAAGATTTGTTTAACTTGAATGTGTTAAAATTTCAACATATGCATTATCCTATTGAAATTACATACAGACAAGACATCACTGTATCAACAGTTTATTAAACTTTCTTTTTTTCTATGAATTGTTTGGTCTTTATAATTCCATTTTCAAAAAAAGTAGTCTCAGTTGGTTAAGCACTTGAGTAACTCTTTATCACATATATGCTTACCACCATTAATTTTGCCTATCACTTGTTCGTAGACAATAATTAGGTTAACATGACCTAAGTTTGATCCACTTGCATCTTTTACTTTCAGAAGGATTTTTATTTCTCTTAAACAAAAAATTAAGAAATGTTTGAAGCTTTAAACTGCTTTGTTTTGATTACAGAAAACTGACAGTGATGATGAAGACAAGTATGCAGATAATATTGATATGCCTGGTCAGAAATTTGAGACTAAACAGAGAATTACAGTCAGAAATTTACGTATTAGAGAAGACACAGCTAAGGTAATTGTCAGAAAATTTGCACAATGGAAAATAAACAAATTTGGTTGTCAGAAATTTATGTATCAATGAATACAAGGCTACAGAAATTTTCAGAAATGTATATATCAAATAGAGAATTGACAGTTAACATGGTTAAGGCAATCGTTCCAGTCTTAAGTATCAGAGGAGATACAGCAATGATAATTGTCAGGGAACTGTAGATTTAGGAATAATAGTTTTATACCACTTTCAAAGACAAATGATCTATTCTGCTATTCAAGGATCAGGAAGCAGTCATATTTTCCATCCAATACCTAATTAGAAGAAAATACTACCCAGTAAATAATTTTTTAAGTGAAAATATAAAAATTATGGTAGAGAAAATTGAAAATGAAAATTGATCAGGGTCAGTAAATTTTATTTTTACATCTTGTCCACATTTCATATCAAGATCAATAACTTCTCCCCAGCATTTCAACGTTTTTTCAGACTTGCAATTAAATTGTTGATTCTTTTCTCACGAAAAGGATCCCTTAGTGTTGAATCTTATACATGTACTTAAAATAAAATCAAGTACCTGAAAGTTCATAAAGTTGAGTCAATATTTTGTTTGATTGTAGGCAAATATTTTATTTGTAATCAGAATAATCAAAACTATATACTGTGGATTCAATTATGTTCATGGGTACCAATTTTCGTGGATTGGTGGAATATTGCATTTTCATTGATATTTAATTTCGTGGTTTTGCCAAAATCTTAAAAAGAGGCTTATGAAAAATGGGTACTTCATTAAACATTTTAATTCGTGGTTCACATATATCCACGAAAATTGGTAGCCCAGGAATAATAATGAATCCACAGTATAAAGTTGTTGTTAAAAAGACACGTCAATTACATGCACAGATATGTTTAAAAAAATATTTCTTGCTCATATTTTTGATTATTTTTTTTTCAAAAATTAATATTTGATATAATTCAGACATGTGATATATTTCTTTCAAAGAATTACACGATTGTTGCATTTCATTTTGTTCTTATTTTTATCTACCTACACATAAATTATGTTTTAAAATACATAGATTAATATGTATTTTGTAGTATTTGTACAATTTGGACGTGAACTCTGCATTCTATGATCCAAAAACCAGATCTATGAGGGAAAATCCATTCCAAGGCAAAGACCAAGCTGAGTAAGTTTAATATATTCTACATTAAATGACAGGAAGTCTCATCAATTTTTTGAAGATTTTGCGGGGCCTTAGTGTACAGACCCAAATCAACATTTTTTCCATTTCAGCTCCCTTTGGGTGCATATTTTTTGTCTTGTCTGCATTGAAAGTCTCAGGATAGGAGAAATATGTATGCTAATCCAATAGAGGTGTAAGCTATTTTTATAAATATTTATATTTCAGAAGGTAGAAAACCTGAATGCTTCATACCTAGTAAATAGATGCCTTATGCTACGAATTTCTCAGTCTGTCCATTCTCTTTGACCTCATAATGATAGTTCAGGGACTGCTTTCATGTAACTTTCACATTCATTATGACTAATTGGATTATAATATTTGGTGTATGGGATCCTTACAAAGTTTACATGCACGTCAGATAGGGTTCACCTGACCTCCACCTCATTTCATGGATCAGTGATCAAAGCTAAAGTTATGTGATAAGGTCCGTTTCAAAGATACTATACACAGTAGGTCAACTATATTTGGGGTTTGGAATCATTGTAAGGTGTACATATCTTTCTGACAGGAATCATCTAACCTTAACCACATTTTTATGGTTCATTGGTCAATGTTAAGTTTATGTGATACTTATGGTAAAGCCTTTATCTCAAAGGCTTTCAACATGAAATCAATCAAGATCAGTAACGAAGGCAAGATATTTCAGCTTGCACACTGTTCTTTAAAATAAGTTTAAGTTAACAGTAAAATAAGACTTACACACAATAACCTGCAGAGGTACTTTGGGGGTCTGGACCCCAAGGTTAAACTAAAAATGTTAGGTCTAACACAATTAAGGATATTTTAAGAAATTTAATACTAACCATTTTATACATGTATCATATTTGACAGCAAAATGTTTTGAATAAATGATTTTATTTCTGATATTTTTAATGAAACTACTCAAATGTATCTTATGCCAACATAATGCTAGTGTTGACAATAAAGTATGGATAAGAATGTAGGAATGCTGAAGAAATTGTGTGATTAGAGAACATTCCTCTCATTATAGTAGTAATAACACTTGTTAACAAGAGAATGAGATTACCACATGTAGGATTTGTCATTAAACATGGATTCTATCCAGTATGTTTTGTGCTCAATATATACTGCTGTTTATTTCTTGATGTTTTACAAAAATTTGACTTACATTGGAACTTATGGGTATACGTAGTATAACTGTTTTTGAATTGATGCCAAATATTGAAAAATTGCTAGTTTTTCTTTACACCACCTGAATCAGTTTTCAAAAATGAAAGAAATTATTTAGTAGTTTAAAAGCAATAAATGGTGAACATATGTGTTTTATTTTTATTTTTAGGGTGAAGTTTACAGGAGATAATTTTGTAAGATTTTCTGGTGATGCTGCTGAATTTGCATCAAATCAAGGTAAATTAACATTTTAATTACATAATTTTTTGCTGGATATTTAGATGATGTACAACATATATGTTTGGAATAATCCCAAGCATTTAAAATCTAAATTGTAAACCAATGATTTTCACAAGTGATTTTGTTTGCACAACTTTTGCTTGTAGAAAAAGAAACATAAAAATATATTGTGGTGAATATTTTAAACTTTGATCTTCTTTTATATAATAACTTCAGCAAAGTTAGAAAATTGCATTTTAATAGAAAATAGCTGTGAAATCAGCTAAAAGGGACTAAATACGAGAAAAATTATCCACAAATATAATTTGGATTACAGTATACCCTCAGCAGTGAATTTGCAGATGCTATAGATATAATGGTATAGTCCTTTATCTCTTTTTACTTTGTTTATTGCCTGGATCATGCCATTATTTCATAATGGACGCCTTGAGATTTAAAAAAAATGATGAGTTTATCTGAAAAATTGAAATCAGATACCATTTGATTTCGGAGGAGGACTTTAGAAGTATCACATAATAAAAGAACTTTTGTGAGCACGCTCACATACCCGATGCCCCCATGATAAAAATTTCATGTGGATATGCATATCTACATATTATGTCCTGATTAACTAAAAAGTTTTATGAAATTCTGTTGTGTGGTTTCAGGGGAGTTGCCCAGATTGTTGCAGTAGTATATTATGACCAAAGGGGCATAACTCCTAGAAAAACAGTGAATCATATTTTCTGTCAATATACACATCTAGATAGTATATCCTTATTATCTATAAAGTTTCATGAAAATCTGTTGTGTGGTTTCAGAGGAGTTGCAATGACAACCCGTTGCAGAAGTATATTTAGGCCAAAATTCTAAGTTCGAAGGGGCATAACTCTTAGGAAAAAATTGATTTATAATTTCCTGTTGATTTGCACATCTACATAGTATTAAAGTCATTATTTTAACATGTTATCTCTGTTGACAGTATTTGCCTGGAATGCCTATGAGTCAGGAACAGATGTTCATCTGCAGGCAGACCCTACAAGGTTAGCAATGCTGAATAAAGAAGTAGAAAAGAGGAAAGATGATTTTAAAACTAGTTTAAAGGAGGGTGTTTTAGCTAAGTATGGTGGAGAGGAACATTTACAAGCCCCTCCTAAACACTTACTGATGGCACAAACAGTAAGTTATTGTTAGAAAATTACAATTAACCTAACTGACAAATTACACATACACCCCGTATATGTAAATTCAGAATTAAGTGTCTTTAGATATAGGAAGATGTGGTATGAGTGCCAATGAGACAACTCTCCATCTAAGTTACAATTTATAAAGGTAAACCATTATAGGTCAAGGTACGGCCTTCAACACGGAGCATTTACTCACACGGAACATCAAGCTATAAAGGGCCCCAAAAAATTACTAGTGTAAAACCATTCAAACGGAAAAACCAACGGTCTAATCTATATATATCTTTATCTATATTGAATATTAGACTACTGTGATAATGCTGGGTTAATAAATTTCAAAATAAACCTTTCTGCAATACAAATGTGATTTAATGAAAAATTCCCTGCATGAGATTTCCAATCTATTTTGTGGGAAATAATATGGTTTATCAAAAATTTATCCAACTAGATAGAACTGGTTTAAATGCACAAAGAATAATTGAAATGCTTTTCCTGATATTAGCATTAACAAAAAACACATTGCATTATATTTCTGAATTTACAGTATACATGTATATAAGTAAACTAATATTGGAACAAATTAAAGTTCTTGAAACAATGATTAATGTTTAAATTCAAAACAGAATGCTATGGATTCAGGCATTTTTGTTGGTACAATTTTTTTTGTAGATTGATGAAATATTGTATTTTCTTGGATGTTTAAGAAATAATTCTTTCATGCCATGCTCTATGCTCATTTTAACAAGAGGTAGGCATTATATTTGTCAATATCTTTATACCAAGCGTTAGTGAGGTGTAAAACGTTGACAAATATAATGCCTACCAATGTTAAAACTAGCATAGAGCATGGCATGATAGAATTATTTCGATTCTAATAAGAAAATTTTGAACTTTTGTACTTCGAAGCGGACCTATAATTCACGTTCAAAAGGCATCCATTTTGATTTGATGAAGCCAAAACATTACAGAAAATCAAACCGCTTCACAATAAACAAATGAAAAGATACATGTAAACTTACTTTTAGAATGATTTTTTTTAATTTCCTAGCGAGCAACACCAAAACAAATGTCCATTTTGATTACCTGCATTGTCCAAAACACAGCTGTCATTGCTATTTCAATTGTGATGTCACTCACGTGCAGCCCATGTTTTATTGGAATTAGAACATGGCTTTGTGAAAAAAAGAATATCATATTAGAATTTAGTTCTATGTATTGGAAATAGAATTAATACACGCTTTAGGAAATTCATATTTTTTTAACATTTATATTTATGGTATACCTACATGTATTCCAAGGAAAATCCACAAGAATTAGTACATCTGAAAGAAATGCTAATTTTTATTATATTATAAAGTTAAAATGTTGCACAAAGCTTAAAAATTTTTAAACAACAATTTACTTTTTTATGGTGATGTCTTCCGTTTTTGGGGCTTATATCATTTGTTCATTAAAAAAATATCAAAATTTGCAAGTTTGTAATGTAGAAAAAAACAGGTTTGAAAACAATTATAACTAGTATGATATCAAAGTGGATTAATATGTACAACTTGATGAAAATTAATGATGGCGAGAAAAAATATTTTGGAAAAACAATTTTTCAGAGATTGTGGGACACGCATGTATCACCATAACAAAGACACAACTCAAAAAATGGCTTAAGCTTTACATTAATTACATCAAAATTGTTGGTACCAGCTATTTTTTTTTATTAGATATTTTGAAATATCAATGAAAATGTAATTATAAAGCAACACTTTTAAACCTGATAGTAAAACTAATACATGTAGCATCTATTATTATATTTTAATATTTCCATTGATGTATTGGATTTATGTATGAAATGTGATGAAAACTTGACATGTTATGTTTTTACAGGAAGATTATGTGGAATATTCTAGACATGGAACTATTATTAAAGGAAATGAGAAACCTGTTATTAGATCTAAATACGAAGAAGATGTGTATATAAATAATCATTCAGTAAGTATTTGTTCTGTTTCTTGAACAACAGAGGGTCAGGATTGGTGGGAGGGGGTTCTTCGTTTCTGTTTTTTTAAATATTTTAGGTAATTTTTTTCTAATCTTTATAGATTTTGCCTGTTATTCTCTATTCTTTATATTTTAGCACCCCATTATTCTTTATTCTTTATATTTTTTGCCCATTATTCTGCACTTTTTGCTCATAGTTCTCTATTCTGTAAACTCCATCCAGACCCACATAACATGTTGATTGATTGATTGTTGTTTGCCTAATGTACAGTGACAAATATTTCATGCATTTTAAGAGTGTGAACAAGTAAACGATAAATTCATCGGTAGGTTCTGCTAACTTACTCTTGAATAATATATTGAACTATACTATTGTTTAATGGAAATTAAACCAAAAAAATATTTATGCTTCTTCTGAAACAAAACTGAACTGTATTTGGCATATAAAATGATTGTAAGTGTTACATGTCCACCTGACAGGGTTAATTCGACTTTCACCTCAATTTCATGGTCAACCCTTGTCAATCTTATGGGTTTGTCTAACCTTCACTCGATTTTCATGGTTCATTGGTCAATGTTAAGGTTAGTTTCTCAGAAACTATAAGTAATAGGTCAACTATTACATGTCAGTCTGATAGGGTTCATTTGAAGTGTAGAGAAAAGGAGATGGTCAGTTTCTGAAATACATTAAGTAATTGTTTATAATGTTAAGTTTTTTTGGTACCTGTAGTAAACCATGATCTTGAAGACTTTCAATATAAATTTCATAATCAATAAAGCAGGCCAAAGTTCTTCAAAAGTGGTCATCAGAAGGTTTTGACCACCAAAAGTTGGAAGGGACTGACACATTTTTATACGACCGCAAAAAAATTTTTGTGGTCGTATATTGGTATGACGTTGGCGTCGTCGTCGTCCGGCGTCGTCGTCGTCGTCGTCGTCCGAAGACACATTGGTTTTCGCACTCTAACTTTAGTTTAAGTGAATGGATCTTTATGAAATTTTACCACAAGGTTCAATACCACAAAAGGAAGGTTGGGATTGATTTTGGGGGTTATGGTAATAACAGTAAAGGAATTAGGGGCCAAAAAGGGGCCAAAAATAAGCATTTTTGTAACTTCCAGACATAACTTGTGTGTTAGTGTATGGATCTCTCTGACATTGTACCACAAGGTTCCATATCACTAAAGGAATGCTGGGATTGATTTTGGGGGTAATTGCCTCCAAATTTTAGGAATTAGGGGCCAAAAAAGGGGCAAAAAACAAGCATTTTTCTAGTTTCATGACAATAACTTGTGTGTAAGTGTATGGATCTTTCTGAAATTGTACTACAAGGTTCCATATCACAAAGGGAAAGCTGGGTTTGAGTTTGGGGGTAATTGCCCTAAACGTTTAGGAATTTGGGGCCAAAAAGGGACCAAAAAACACATTTTTTTCTAGTTTCCAGACAATAACTTGTGTTCAAGTGTATGGATCTCTCTGAAATTGTACTGCAAGGTACCATACCACAAAGGGAAGGCTGGGATTGAGTTTGGGGGTGATGAATCATAATGGGGGTTCAAAAAATTTTGGGGGGGGATTTATTTTTTTTTCCTTTTTTTTCTTTTTTTCCTTTTTTGTTTCTTTTAAAATTTTCCATTTTAAGTTGGTTATTTCTGATTTATATTTAAAATCAAATAATAATGATATGGTAGGAGATACACACCAAACAGGATGTGTAAATTATTATATAATAAGTATTGTGCAATAGCAAGAAATTTTCAATTGCACAGTATTGCACAATAGCAAGAAATCTTCAATTGCACAGTATTGCGCAATAGCAAGAAATCTTCAATTGCACAGTATTGCGCAATAGCAAGAAATATCCAATAGCACAATATTGCGCAATAGCAAGAAATTGTCAATTGTACAGTATTGCGCAATAGCAAGAAATATTTAATAGCACAGGATTGTGCAAAAGAAGATACTTCCTATAAATTGCTTATTTCTTGACCAATTTCAATGGGGTTTTATTCTTGATTTCATGGGGTTCTTTAATATGCTGAATCTAACCGTGTATTTAGTTTTTGGATTTTGGGCCCCGTTTTTAAATTGGTCCACATTGAGGTCCAAAGGGTCCAAAATTAAACTTTGTTTGATTTCATCAAAAATTGAATTATTGGGGTTCTTTGATATGCCGAATCTAACTGTGTATTTAGATTCTTAAATTTTGGTTCCGTTTTCAAATTGGTCTACATTAAGGTCCAAAGGGTCCAAAATTAAACTTAGTTTGATTTTAACAAAAATTGAATTCTTAGGGTTCTTTGATATGCTGAATCTAAACATGTATTTAGATTTTTGATTATGGGCCCAGTTTTCAAGTTGGTCCAAATCGGGGTCCAAAATTAAACTTTGTTTGATTTCAACAAAAATTGAATATATGGGGTTCTTTGATATGCTGAATCTAACCATGTATTTAGATTTTTGATTTTTGGGCCCCGTTATCAACTTTGTCCACATTGAGGTCAAAAGGGTCCAAAATTAAACTTTGTTTGATTTCATCAAAAATTGAATTATTGGGGTTCTTTGATATGCCGAATCTAACCGTGTATTTAGATTCTTAATTTTTGGTTCCGTTTTCAAATTGGTCTACATTAAGGTCCAAAGGGTCCAAAATTAAACTTAGTTTGATTTTAACAAAAATTGAATTCTTAGGGTTCTTTGATATGCTGAATCTAAACATGTATTTAGATTTTTGATTATGGGCCCAGTTTTCAAGTTGGTCCAAATCGGGGTCCAAAATTAAACTTTGTTTGATTTCAACAAAAATTGAATATATGGGGTTCTTTGATATGCTGAATCTAACCATGTATTTAGATTTTTGATTTTTGGGCCCCGTTATCAACTTTGTCCACATTGAGGTCAAAAGGGTCCAAAATTAAACTTTGTTTGATTTCATCAAAAATTGAATTCTTGGGGTTCTTTGATATGCTGAATCTAACCATGTATTTAGATTTTGGATATTGGACCATAATAGGTGAATGTCCAATTTAAAATTTTTAAGTTCTTAGACCACATTCAATCTGTGTTAGAAACCTATGCTGTGTCAAATATTTAATCACAATCCAAATCCAAAGCTGTATCAAGCTTGAATGTTGTGTCCATACTTCCCCCAACTGTTCAGGGTTCGACCTCTGCGGTCGTATCAAGCTGCGCCCTGTGGAGCATTTTATTGGTATTTTACAATGGAAATAATAGTGAGGACCAGCAGATTTTGTTCAAGGACCACCAAGGGGAAGAGATTTAGAGAACTATGGCTGGCGACATTTCAGTATATGCATTCTTATTTAACATTTGGATAAAAAATGAAAGTTGTCAGTAAAGAAAATATATCATATGTTCAGTCAAAATATCAGTAAATTGACATTTTAATTGTTTATTTACAGAGTGTATGGGGATCTTTTTGGTCAAATGGAAAATGGGGATTCAAATGTTGTTACTCAACCATCAAAGAATCATACTGCACAGGAGAAGCAGGGAAAGAGGCAGCACAGGTGAGCATTAACCTGATCTGATATATAGTACATTGTACCAGACTTGTCTGTATGAGATATAAATAATTTTGGTCATAAGATCACTTTTAAAGTGATGTCTGCTCAGTTGGAACTGAAAATGTCTGAATACTGACTGTTTATTTGAATTCAGCTTATTAGTAATTTTGCTGTTAAGAATCTTTGACTGACCAGATGAAGAAGGTTTTTGTTTACTGTAAATTCAGAAATTTTTGCATGCAGTTATTTTTTGACATTGTTAGACAATGGACAGAATGCATGATTATTTATTATAAATTTAGGAAATGCTGCATACAAATAATGCCATCAAAATGTAAAATGGGAATTTTAATTTTGTCAAACCTGTCCGGCACAATTTTTGGAATACCGGTAATAAAAAACATTTCCAAATTATCAGTATTCAAGGTTGTTGCATGCATGTTGAATAAAAGCCAATCTATTAGATACAAATCGTCATGGATTTTGTGAATGAATTTAGATACTAGACACAATTCAAATTTTTAAGTAATTTTTTTTTAGAGCGAATGAATAACCTAAGAAATTAAGAACCCTTGAAATAGAAAGTTTTTCTACAACCAAAAAAGTTGATATCATTGATAAATGAATGAACCCATGCTATATTTGAAATTGATAATTGCATAATATTTACAGATAAGAGGTGTTATGTTTTGTTTTGTTTTTTTACACTGTTATAATTATAAATAAATTTCTACATCAGAATGAGATATTGGCCATTGAGAATGGAGATGAATCACCCGTAGAAGAAGAGCCACAAAAATCATTATTAGAGGTAAGTTTATGTATGTCAGCTTTATACATTTTGATACATTTTTACAGTACATCTTTTGAAGTATAAAGACGTAATCAGACAAAGATTGACAGTAATCAACAATATGCTTATTTACAGAAGTGGATATACATGTATCATTTTATACTTTACAGGACAAAAAACTTTGATTTCCAGTAGTGTGGGCTATGCACCAATGAGTAAAAACCCAATTACACAATAAATAAATATTATATACATTTAGAACTCATCATTTGGTCTTCAACAAGTCAAGCTGTAAAGTTCCTAGAGATGAGACAAAAAGTTGTGATTATAACAGATACTACCAAAGATCTATCATCATCGTGAAATTCTCTATAAGACAAAAAAAAACAGAGATACCAACTAAGACAATCATAGGCGTGGTTCCTGACTTGGGTACATGATAACATGAGCTGTGTTTAATTTTAGTACTAAACCTTTCTCTCGCTTTTTTTCTCAATCTATTGTGGTTTGAGACACAGACACTTAAATCCTACCTCTTTCCTAAAAGTAGTGTTGGGAATTGGCTGGAAATTGTAATCGATTGCATAGTATGCTTTTAGTTATTTAGGAACTGGTAAAACTTTTGCATGTCATATATATTACTTTAATAAAATTACCCAAACATACAGATGCATAAATGCAGAGTTCTGTACACCAAAAACATTTGTGTATTTACAAAATGGTCATTTTATGGGGGTTTCAGGACATTTCTTATATTTACAGGGAAATATCAAAAGGTTTTCATAAAAAAAACATTTTATACATACAATTTTATTTTATCAATCATGAAATTGCTAATTTATTAAAATAAAAAACTTTTAATAATTGACTGATTTTCGATAATCAGAACATCACTTCCTAAAAGTAATTTTCTTCTTTGCAGTGAACTAAAAATTAAAGAACTCATTAATAACTTATTTTAGAGTCAGATTCCAGCTTTAGGGATAAGTAACATAGATCGAGCTATTACTAGGATAGTTTCTTTGTGTATAATAGTAATGTTGATGGGAAGTATTAAGAAATGACTGTAATTTGAATTCATTATGCTTACAGCAACATCAAGAGAAAATGAACGGAAAGAAAAGAAAAAAGAAAAAGAAGAAGAATAAACACAAGAAACATAAAAAGAAGAGTTCATCAGAAAGTAGTAGTGAAGAATCTGAAGATGAAGGAAAGATAAACGCAAAGAAATTGAAAAAGGTAAGTTTATCACAAAAACCAGTATACTGTTTACATACTTTCTTGCATCAGATCAACAGCTTGTGCATATTGATTTTATAAAGTTTTACATGATCAATTTTGATTTTATAGCTATTTGCCTTTGCAGCCAAATACACAAAGTATTATAGTTACTATATATATATAAAAATATTAATTTTCGCGAACCATTTAGGTCACGGAAATTCCATTTTTTGCCATCAGTAAGGAGAGTTGTACAAATAATGTGAATACACAGAACCCCGATCCAATTCATCTTTTGCTAAAAATATTTATCATTTTCTGTTTTATATCTCCTAACATCATTCCATTTTTCTCTAATTTCGATTAAAATATGCCAAAACCTGCAGTAAAAATAGATGTATGCCCCAAATAAACATTCCCCGATTGGTTGAACTACTATGGCGTCGATGTAAAGCAACGAAAGCCTCGATGTAAAGCAACGCAAGCCTCGATGTAGAGCACACGCTTCCCAAGAGTAAGGAGAGTTGTACAAATAATGTGAATTCACAGACCCCCGATCCAATTTATCTTTTGCTAAAAGTGTTCATCATTTTCTGTTCTGTATCTACCAACAACATTCCATTTTTCTATAATCCCGATTTAAACATGTCGAAACCTGCAGTAAAAATAGATGTATGCCCCAAGTAAACATTCCCCGATTGGTTGAAAAGCTGTGGCCTCGATCTAAAGCAACGCAAGCACACGCAAAAATTTCCGTTGAAATGTTGAACTTCGACCCCGAGCCAATTCACATAGAGATTTTCTTGCGCTCAAATGTAATTCTAAGTGAAGTATACTGGTAAAGTAAAATTATGTTCTTTTACAGAAATATTTACACATTTTATTATAAATGTATTGTCATGCTTCTGCATATTTACGCTGAGCTTTAGTTAAATATAATTCTATACAAATTTTGTTACGTCAAGCATTAAGAGTAAGAATATATTTCCCACCCTAACAAGAATATAATCTGTGTCACCAAATAAGTTTATCAGCATCTTTCTGAAATTTTCCAACAGAAAATAGCGTTAATTATAGAGATATTTTGGTGAGTATTACTTATTAATGTTAAGGTTCTCCAGAGGTGGTTCTCTACACCTTCTTGGCGGTCAATTTAATCCCATTTATCAATTATCCCCGATGGCGATGACACCCAGTCAATATTTGTGTCATGAGTGAAAATCTTATCTATTTGATGAAATAACTTCTTCATTGACTGTACATGCAACATTTTTGTAGTTTTTGATAACCGTGCACATTCCCATTGCATGTCCGCAAGATAAATGGGTTATGCATTTGTGAATTGTGTAAGTACAGTAATATTGTGTGATAAAAATTTGTGACGGTCAGTGCATGATCACGTGACATTATTATTTGTAAACAAACGGGCTCCCCATGTAACACGTGTCGGAACTATCCATACAAGGTGCAATCAATCTATTATTTCACTATTTGATGATATTTCTGTGTCTGTTTGTAGGTTTTGCAGATCAGATGTCATAGTGTAGTTTCATAGACAAAAAAGTACATGTACCATGAATCCGGGTCCGTTCGCGCCCATTCACGTTCGCCCCCTTTCACGTTCGCACCCCGGGTCCGTTCGCACCCTTTTTATTGATTTTGTCTTAAATAATTTTTCAATCATATTTTGGTTAGTGTTTTGCTTTAAATATTTTTTTTGTTCATTGTTTTAAAATGAAGTGACTTTCTAAAAACGATTTTTGTGTTGAATAATTTTTTAATCGTGTTTTGGTTATTGTATTGCTATAAACTGAGACTACTATAACACAGAGATTGGTCACTAGAGATTTATCGGATTATCTGAGTCTCCGGTAGTTAGCTACGTTATTTTAACGTAGTTTCGTATTCGACCGTAGCAGACGACATATATCACCTATCACTGAGAATACTATAACAGTATCGGATATTATTATTTTTCTTTTAAAAATAATTTTAAAACAAAATTTAATTAATAAAAAAAAAAAGAATATAGTTTTATCTTTCAAATGCAGTTATCTCTATAATTCATATTTAAATTTTTGTTTTTAATCATTAATAATTTGTTAATAGTTTGTTATTATGCGGCCACTCTTGAAAATGTGAATGTGATTAATCTTATCAATCTTACAGTTACATTGTTTTGCTACACGTCCGTTAATTGTATCTAATATACAAATATTTTACCTGTAAAGACAGGTAGTCTCAAAAGCATGGGAGATGAATTTTGTTTCACAGCGGGGTGCCCAAGGTACACGAGGCTCCGTTTATTGCAGTAAACTTTTATTCTATACTTGTATATTAAAAAAATATAGATTCTATGAACGTTTAGAAATATTGAAGTCTCCTTCATCTTATTTATTGTATGAGCATTTCTAAACCTCTTGAAATCAATGTTTAAACTGATAATACTATAAAGATTTAATTGACAACTAAACAATTATGACAAATAATGCGAAAACACATATTAACAGCACTTTATGTCAGTTTTCTCTGCTTTTTTAATTGAAAAACTAGAATGTTATTTCATAACTTAACTGTTTAATTGACAACTAGAATGTTATTTCATAATTTTACTGTTTAATTGACAACTAGAATGTTATTTCATAGTTTTACTGTTTAATTGACAACTAGAATGTTATTTCATAGTTTTACTGTTTAATTGACAACTAGAATGTTATTTCATAGTTTTACTGTTTAATTGACAACTATAATGTTATTTCATAGTTTTACTGTTGAAAGGACAATAAAGTTGTTAGAAGTGTAGATTATATCTGAATATTCTTTCAAAAGTTTAATTATGAAATACAAAATTTGTGTATATAAATCCTGATAAAAGTTAGTGAAATAAATTCAAGATTTTTACTTATAGATCTAATGAATGGTAATTACTATTGAATGTATTTTCTAGGTATGGAAGAGTTAGAATTAAAGTAGTTGGTATGATAAGGCCCCAATATGGCCCCCATTTCTAGCTAAAATTTAAAATTTAATGGCCATAATCACAATGTATCATAGTTGAAACAATAACTATTTAAAGGCATTTTTATTGAACATTTATGTATCTGTGTACTTTTAATGACATTGATTTGAATAAATTTCATTTTTCAACCAAATTCAACATATGAAAAAAGCAAATTTTCATTTTTGATCCAGCCATGCTGGATCTATGTGATCACTCTGGAATCCGAGATGGTGCAGAATTCAAAGTTGGAGACATATCATGAAATCAATTATGTGTTTTTATGACTTGCAAAAACTTTATACATCATTTTAATCATCTACTGTCAACTTTTGACATGTTACTTACCCTTAAATTGAATAAAGGATGGTCAAATAGCTTCTTTATTTTAGATATACACTTGCATACAGTCCTTTGTAAATCAAAATTAATTGCTATTTATGAATTAATGTGAAAAAGTAATATATCAAATTTAAGCAGTTGAAAAGAATTATGAAAGTATTTTATCAGTATCTTATGCTTGTGTAAGTAATTGAATAAAATTTGATACAAGATGTGCATTGATATCAAAGTTGATTCCCACACTTTTTATAAATGCTATTTTTCTATTTCTTTTCTTAGGCAAGTTAGAGTTCTGATATAATACAGTATGATAGACAACTGTCATTATTTGCAATCAATTTCACTCAAAAGTGATTAATGCCAATCGTAATTGACCACTGTTAATATCTATTGTATTACATAAATGAATACACAATTATAGACCTAAATAGTATACATAAAATTACTTTTGATTTACACTACATAAAATTATTCTGTAAACTATTTTTCAAAGATGAATGATGAGGGATAAATAAGAACAGACAAAAAACAAAATATGTATAAAAATGCAAGCCGGGTCTTAATAATATTTTACTTGTAAAATCAGTGTTATAATCATATGATATATATTAGACAATAATTTAGGTTTATTTAAGTTACAATTATCTTTAATTTGCTTGAAACAATTAACAAAATTGCACAACTCTAACCTGGGGATTTTCTACAGGCTTGTATGCAGAATTTGACAAAACCATGAAATCAAATATTCACAAACATATAATTTTTCCTAAATCCACGAAAAATTGGGACCCATGAAAAGAAAGGAATCCACATTATCAATTATTAATAACTTTTCAATAGAATATAATGCATACTTTTAATTGGAATCTGATGAAGGCAACTAAACAGATGTGGTATGATTGCCAATGAGACAACTATCCTTCTGACCAAACCTTAGTACACAGTGATTATATAACATCTAAGACATATGAGTAATTGTTTCTTTATTTTATAGGCACTGACGAAAGAGGATGAGCATCGAAAGAAAGCAGAGGAGTTATTACAAATTGATGAGAGGAAACGTCCATATAATAGCATGTATGAGGCTGTAGTTCCTACAGAAGAGGAAATGGAAGCATGGAGAATGAAAAACTTACGAAGTGACGATCCTATGGCTCATTTTAAGTCATAACTACTGTTGATGTGATACTAAATAATATTGTTGATGTAAAATACTGTAAATAAAATAATGGAAAAACTTGTACAATGTACCGGTAATACAATTTCTTTCCTGATAATTCAGGACGAGTACACTAGTAGTTATTGACTCTCTTTTGTTAATAAAGTGCACAATGGGATATCTTCCTTGTCAAATGGAGATAAAGTTATGTAAATTTGGTGCTATATCAGTTATATGTAACAGAAAATTTCTTGTCACTGTAAACATTTTGTCTACAAAAAAATAGGTTTCTTCAACCTCCTTTTCTGATTGACTGGTTAAGTTTTGTAGATTTGGTGATGACACTTTCTCTTTATTAAGATAATTTCATGAAAGTCTATAATTTTTTGAGGTTACAGGAGTATGATTGATTGATTTGCATAATATTCCAGTGGAAAATATTTTATGCATGTTCAAGTTGAGAACAAATTAATACATCAACCAAGTTCAACAACAACAACAACAACACTTTATTTTAAGAGGGTTACACATTTAGCTATATAACTAATCTTCCTTGAGGCCCTCATCATAGAAAAGTTCTGCCAAGTTAGTTGACCAAGATGGAGGTTGGAAAATTTGGACAGCCACTGGGAAGAGAAGGGATTGTTGGGATTAGGCAGAAATTTGGCCTTGCAACAAGCCACCTACTGGGGTTCTTAAACATTCAGAAAATATGGCATTGTCTCAACACAGGATATCAAGTTTCATGTCCCTTTTCCAACCTGACATGGCTGCATATTCATATGTTCCACACTGGCAAACAGATTCTCTCCAAGCATGATTCTGACTACAGGATGGGAGAAGTCCAGGTAACCATATTGCTATACACCAATGTATTTTGTATATTCACTGACCTGTAGCAAACTTGGGTAAAAGGCCTTTTACATACCTCTAGGTCAATGTACCTTGCATTTTTTTTGGCAAATGAATGGATTGAAACTTGATCCTATACCAAATTCGAGATAGGTGTTTTTTTTTTTTTTTTCATTTTATCATTTTTTCGACAGTCGCAGAATGCAAGACATAGGGATTATCACCAAGTGGTGGTGGGGTTAACTATGTAAGGTTTCCCCCCTACGTGAGAAAAGACCTTGTTGCTAAGGTAGTTTTTATACGACCGCAAAAATTAAAAATTTTTTGGTCGTATATTGGTATGACGTTGGCGTCGTCGTCGTCGTCGTCGTCCGGCGTCGTCCGAAGACACATTGGTTTTCGCACTCTAACTTTAGTTTAAGTGAATGGATCTCCGTGAAATTTTACCATAAGGTTCAATACCACAAAAGGAAGGTTGGGTTTGATTTTGGGGGTTATGGTACCAACAGTTAAGGAATAAGGGGCCAAAAAGGGGCCAAAAATAAGCATTTTTGTAACTTCCAGACATAACTTGTGTGTTAGTGTATGGATCTCTCTGACATTGTACCACAAGGTTCCATATCACAAAGGTAATGCTGGGATTGATTTTGGGGGTAATTGCCTCAAAATTTTAGGAATTAGGGGCCAAAAAAGGGGCAAAAAACAAGCATTTTTCTAGTTTCATGATAATAACTTGTGTGTAAGTGTATGGATCTTTCTGAAATTGTACTACAAGGTTCCATATCACAAAGGGAAAGCTGGAATTGAGTTTGGGGGTAATTGCCCAAAACGTTTAGGAATAAGGGGCCAAAAAGGGGCCAAAAATAGCATTTTTCTAGTTTCCAGACAATTACTTGTGTTCAAGTGTATGGATCTCTCTGAAATTGTACTGCAAGGTACCATACCAAAAAGGGAAGGCTGGGATTGATATTGGGGGTAATTGCCTCAAAATTTTAGGAATTAGGGGCCAAAAAGGGGAAAAAAAACAAGCATTTTTCTAGTTTCAGGACAATAACTTGTGTTCAAGTGTATGGATCTCTCTGAAATTGTACTGCAAGGTTCCATACCACAAAGGGAAGGCTGGGATTGAGTTTGGGGGTGATGAATCATAAGGGGTTTCAAAAAATTTGGGGGGGGGGATTTTTTTTTTTTCATTTTTTTTCTTTTTTTCATTTTTTTTTTCTTTTAAAATTTTCCATTTTAAGTTGGTTATTTCTGATTTATATTTAAAAGCAAATAATAATGATATGGTAGGAGATACACACCAAACAGGATGTGTAAATTATTATATAATAAGTATTGTGCAATAGCAAGAAATTTTCAATTGCACAGTATTGCACAATAGCAAGAAATCTTCCATTGCACAGTATTGCGCAATAGCAAGAAATCTTCAATTGCACAGTATTGCGCAATAGCAAGAAATATCCAATAGCACAATATTGCGCAATAGCAAGAAATTGTCAATTGTACAGTATTGCACAACAGCAAGAAATATTCAATTGCACAGTATTGTGCAAAAGAAGATACTTCGTATAAATTGCTTATTTCTTGACCAATTTCAATGGGGTTTTATTTTTGAATTCTTGGGGTTCTTTAATGTGCTGAATCTAACCGTGTATTAAGTTTTTGGATTTTGGGCCCCGTTTTTAAATTGGTCCACATTGAGGTCCAAAAGGGTCCAAAATTAAACTTTGTTTGATTTCATCAAAAATTGAATTATTGGGGTTCTTTGATATGCCGAATCTAACCGTGTACCGGGGTATTTAGATTCTTAATATTTGGTTCCGTTTTCAAATTGGTCTACATTAAGGTCCAAAGGGTCCAAAATTAAACTAAGTTTGATTTTAACAAAAATTGAATTCTTAGGGTTCTTTGATATGCTGAATCTAAACATGTATTTAGATTTTTGATTATGGGCCCAGTTTTCAAGTTGGTCCAAATCGGGGTCCAAAATTAAACTTTGTTTGATTTCAACAAAAATTGAATATATGGGGTTCTTTGATATGCTGAATCTAACCATGTATTTAGATTTTTGATTTTTGGGCCCCGTTATCAACTTTGTCCACATTGAAGTCAAAAGGGTCCAAAATTAAACTTTGTTTGATTTCATCAAAAATTGAATTCTTGGGGTTCTTTGATATGCTGAATCTAACCATGTATTTAGATTTTGGATATTGGACCATAATAGGTGAATGTCCAATTGTTAAAATTTTTAAGTTCTTAGACCACATTCATTCTGTGTCAGTAACCTATGCTGTGTCAAATATTTAATCACAATCCAAATTCAGAGCTGTATCAAGCTTGAATGTTGTGTCCATACTTGCCCCAACTGTTCAGGGTTCGACCTCTGCGGTCGTATCAAGCTGCGCCCTGCGGAGCATTTTATTCTTTTTTTTCTTCCATCATTTTTTTTACATGGCCTCCCCCTGTTTCTATTGAAGTTATCATGACCAAATTTGGACCATCGATAGACCTCATCATGAAGTATTATCAGATGAGGCTGTGTAGAATTTCATCATCTCCTTTAGAATTTATCTCACTTTTATTAGTTTTTTATCGACATGACATCCCCCTTATTGTTTTTGAAGATATCATGACCTTATTTGGACAATAGGTAGATCTCATCATGAAGTATTATCAGATGAGGCTGCTTTGGACTTCATCATCCCCTTTAAGAGTTATATCCCCTTGAAACAATTTCTTTTATTGCATTTTCTTCAAAATTATTAGGGCCTTGGTGGCCGAGTGGACTAAGTAGTTACTACTGTAATCACTAGCCAGTCAACACTGAGGTTGTGAGTTCGAACCCCGCTCGTGCGGGTGCACTCGACTCCAATCTTAATTGACTAGGATTGTCAGTTTTCCTATCGAAGGTCAGTGGTTTTCTCCGGGCACTCCGGCTTCCTCCACCAATAAAAACTGGCCGCCACGAAATAGCCCAAAAGCGGTGCTTAAAAGTGGCGTTAAAACACCAAAAATCAAAATCAAAATCAAATCAAAATTATTACAGATAAAATCGATTTGTAAATGGCAACATGTACAGGAACAGATGGCAATGTTATTTAACCTAAACAATTATTTTGTTATCAAACCTTATAAGAGTTATTTCCCTTGAAATATTATACACAATTTTTGAAAATTATATTTCGAGAACTGGAACTCATGGAATTGGAGAATTGGGACCTTCACCAATAATCTTTAGTTCATGTGACCTGTCATTTGCACCCTAGGTCAAAGGTCACCAAGTGCAAAAAGGTTTTGTACACTGAAATTTCAAGCTTACATATTAACAAAACGATAAGAAACTACTGCATACATACAGTGTATAAAATGTTCCTCTCGAAAAGCTCTACATTTTATATATAGGCTCAAAACTGTCCAACCATCTGTTCAAAAGATACGAGGGGATATTTCTTAAAAGTATAGTATTTTTAGCTCACCGTTCCGAAGGAAGATAGGGGTAAAATGCAGTTTTTGGCTGATATCTCAAAAACCAAAGCATTTAGAGCAAATCTGACATGGAGTTAAAGTGTTCATTAGGTGGAGTTCTATCGGCCCTGAAATTTTCTGTTGAATCTGATAACCCATTGTTGGGTTGCTGCCACTAAATTGGTAATTTTAAGGAAATTTTGCAGTTTTTGGTTATTATCTTGAATATTATTTGATAAAGATAAACTGTGAACAGCAAAAATGTTCAGCAAGGTAAGATCTACAAATAAGTTCATATGATCAAAATTGTCAATTGACCCCTTAAGGAGTTATTGCCCTTTAAGGACAATTTTACACAATTTGTTTATCATGTTTTCTGACTAAAAATCTTCTTCTCTGAAACTACTGAACCAATTCCAACCAAACTTAAGCTGAATGATTCTAAGGGTATCTAGAATAAATTTTGTGTTTTATTTTCTGTTTCGTAAAAAAACATGGCCGCCATGGCTCAAAATAGAACGTAGGGGTAAAATGCAATTTTTGGCTTATATCTCAAAAACCAAAGCATTTAGAGCTAATCTGATGAGAAGTAAAAATGATTAATAGGCCAAGCTCTGTCAGCCCTGAAATTTTCAGATGAATCTAACAACCCATTGTGGATTGCTGCCACTTAATTGGTAATTTTAAGGAAATTTTGCAGATTTTGGTTATTATCTTGAATATTATTAATGATAAAGATAAACTGTAAACAGCAAAAACGTTCAGCAAAGTAAGATCTACAAATAAGGTTGTATGACCAAAATGATCAATTGTCCC